GTAGGTATACAACAGCATAGGGTGAAATGCTTTTGTCATCTCTGCAGCTATTTAGTAATATAATTATGTAACAGCCCATTTGATAGTCAGCCTCACCAAACTGTCTGGCTATTATTTATTATTTATGATGGGGAAAATTAGGCTGCAAATACAGATTACAATAATAATATTACAATAATAGTAATAATAATAATAACAAATCATCAATCTCCTCAGTATTTTTGAAAAGAGTGGAAACTTAAATCCTTTATTTATAGTACTAAATCTTACATCTTTTCAAGAATTACATGTTAAGCTTATAAGTCTTATTTCTGTTATTACCTTAAAAACATTTTCTGAACGAGTAATTTAGAATTTTAATAGTGACCAATTTCAGGAGAGTAATTTGCAGAGGAGAAGTCAATATGTTGAAAATAATAACTAACTCTAATGTAGCATATTAAGTTACAAATAGATCGCTGGAAATGTTCAACTACTAAATAATTCAAATTACAGAACTATGGCTTTTATTAATTCAAACAAGATTTTTCCCTCTCCTAAGGGCCACCAAGGACAAAGAAATTAAAAAATACTGTGGGGAAAAAAAATTGTCTTCTTTAACTTAATCTTTTTTTTCCCTATGTTGCATTTTTTAAACTTACTTCATACAGACCCAGAGGACTGGCATCAATCTTTGAACCAGCAAATGACTTACCATTGGCCTAATAAATCTTTCATATTTTGGTGGTTTTCGTGTAAAGCCATCCCCAACAAAGCAGACTTTAGTAACCATTCTCTTCCAAGCCTTCTTCTTTCTCTTTCCTGTTCGAATAACCTTTAACACTTCTGTTTCTCCCTGGGCACGAACTTTTGGCAACGGCACTTCCCATTTACCCTAAAAGTATACATACAAGCCACTGTTAACATATGGTGTTGATAGTAAAATGTGGAGACTTTTGAGCCAAAAGCTAATAAAAATAACTCAGGTTTATATAGTCGGTTGGGGTTTACAAAGCACTTTTTATACAGTTACTCATTACTCTTTGAGGCAGGTAATACATGTATTACTCCCATTCACAGATGAGGAAAATGAGACTCAGAAAGGTTAAATGACTTGGACAAAAGTCATTTGGCTAGTAAATCACAGAAGGAGAAGGCTCAGTAGAAAGAATTGCTTTTTAAATCTGTATAGGTTCTGTATAGCATCTGTATAGAAAAACAGGGTACGGAATTCTTAATTAAAAGTCTGATCCCCTTAAGACCCTTGGAGGTTTTATTGTTGGTGGTGGCAGGAAATGGCAAACTGAATAGATAAAGCAATGGCTTCCAATAACCCTTCAGTGGTTTCCTATTGCCTACCAAATTAAGCCCAAAGTCCTTAACATGCTGTTGAAGATTTTTCACAATCTGGTACCACCCTGAATCCTACACCATTCCTCCCTTCATGCCCATATCTTCTTGCCTCCATGACAGGGGTGGGGAACCTGCGGCCCTTGAGGTCCTTGGATACACCTTTTGAATGAGTCCAAGTTTTACAGAACAAATCTATTAAGGGGATTTGTTCTGTGAAGTTTGGATTCAGTCAAAGGGCCACACTTGAGGACACAGAGGGCCACATGTGGCCGGAAGTTCACAGGTTCCCCACCCCTGCATTCCTTATGCCTTAAACATCTTGCCTCTATCCATCTACCAGCTGAAAATCTCTCCAAGGCAAAATACCACCTTGTCCATGAAACCTTCCCATCTTTCTTCCATTGGATCTTATGTTATTTGTACCTCTTATGTACTTACATTTTATTTTCCTAAGTTTTGTATTCCCACTCCTGCCCCCACATTTATTTTTGTATCTTAGCACCTAGGACAGAGGTTGGCATATAGAAGATTGCGCGGTTTAGTACTATATCATTGCCTAATACTGAAAGGATGAGTCTAAGAGAGTTGCCACCTCTTAAAATATAATGCCATCATTAATGGTTTATTGAATGACATCATTGACATGACAGAGGTTTTACCAGATTTATTTTCCCTCATATGAAATGCTGTGAAGGAACTAACAACATATACTAACTTTAAAAACATAGCAATATATAGTAGTACCAAGAATCACTAAGCTAATGCTTATTTCATTGCAAATTCTGTACATAGTGAGACAAATTACATAAAGACCTAGTTTTACATATTCTAAACTCCCACCCTTATTATTTGTACCATTCAACAGAACTTACAGTCTAACTAAAATCTAAGAGCCGTGAAGACAGACCTTATTTAATACTTTTATATTCTTATTCTTCCTGTAACTCACTCCATGGCCAATATATAATTATTCAAAGCTTGTCAACCTGTATTATAATTTAACTGATTCATGGTTTTGTCTTCTCTCTCTAATAATATTGCAAACTACCTGTGGATAAGGACTATATCCAGTTTTTCACTTCCAACCCCCCCCCCAAAAAAACACCCAACCCTACAATTCATTTCATGTCACTGATCCACTGGTTTCCTCTGTCAATTTACTCTTATCTCCCCAAAAGTGCACATTTTTACCAAGATGGAATGGCTTCAATTGCAGTTCTAGAAGTAGAATGTCACCTATTTTCTGTCAACTAAGGACTAGCCTATCAAAAACTAGACAGCCTCACTACCAAGTTGGCTATAAGTTAATGAATCTTTTGGCCATCCACACTCTTCAAACACTGTCTATGTGCACTGGTGTAGGAATAACAACAGAACTATGAGTCCTTCAGGAAAAGACTGGACACTTCTAACTAACCCTTTTGTTTCAAATCAATCTGAAAAACTACAAAACATTCCTTATGAATTTTGATAACACGAGATATGAATATTTCTCATAAAAGAAACCATTTAAACATAGCCAAAAAAAAAAAGAAAGAAAGGAATATCCTAAGAAGTATCATCACTTACAGCTTTCTCTTTTCGTTTCTGTTTAATCATGTTGGAAAGAACTTTGGCTCGGGACTGTCCCTCTCTGTCCAGCAGATATGCAGGCACTGCTCCCTGGGGAGTTTTTTCATCATTCTTTCGCTTGGTATTTCTCTTTTCATGCATCTTGATACTACATAAAAAGTCCAGAAAAAAATTACCCTAAATAATTCCTAAAAAAGTTAATCAAATACACAGTAATTACAAATACATCAAATAAACAGAATGTACTCACGTCTTTTTCATCTGAATCTTCTCAGCATGACGCTGTTTATGGTAGAGTTTGGCTTTTAGACCAATCATTTTCTTTGCTTTCTTTGAACGTTCATGACCCTCTCGGCTTTCCTTCTTTCTCTTTTTCTCATGGTAATCCAAGCGGTAGCCATACCGTTTTCGGTGTAACTCTATGTATTCGTTCTGTGGCTATAAGGCACAGAAAGCATGAAATACTTTTAAAAGCATCTACTGAAAGAATAACTTCCCAAGTTATTGCTTTCTTTTATATGGACCGTAAGTTAAGATAATATCCACCCTAGCTGAAAGTGATTATTCATACATGCAAGGTAATCATAGTATTGAAATCCACACATGCCTGCTCCAAGACAAAAATGAGTTATTTTTTACATAGAAGGATAGTTGCAGGGAATCCCTTAACATACTATTTCTTCGCCGTAACTAATTGGCAAATGCCATACTGATTCAGAGAGGTTAAAATAAACTAATTTTATGGGCAGGAGAGATATTCAACAGTTAAGTTAATAAACTGCCATACTCAAATGGAAAACTACAGCCAAAGAAATGCAACCTGATGCCTCCCTTATATCTTTTACTTTCCATTTAAAGAAAAAAAAATGGAGTTAGCATCCTGCTCCTGCATTTTGAGTTTCCAAGAATCATTCTGATGCAGTTACCAAAGGCTTGCTTCATAAGAATAAGGCCAGTAGGTCACTTGGAAGTGAATTACCTAGCCCAGTGAATGTGAATGGAGATTTCACACCCTCAGCAAGAACATCTCGGGCATCAGTCTCCTCATTTTTTTTATTACAACCACCGTCACCTTTCCGCTGGAAAGAACTGTTCTTTTATCCAGCCTCTCCCCTGTACAATCATTCCTCATACAGGTGCCAAATTAATATTCCCAAAACAGAGGTCTGAACATGGCTCATCTGCTCAAGAAGCTCCAGCGGTTTCCAACTGTCTTTGGGATAAAATATAAAACATCCTGTTTGACATTCAAACTCCATAACAATCCAGCTCCAGACGACTTGTGCTGAGTAGTTACACGTTCCTTTAATCAATGTATTGCATATTCCAAATGTCCGCATAAGACATTTAATGTCCAGCCTCCGAGCATTTAGACAGGCCCAGGCCTTCCCTTATTTATGTCTGCTTCTTGGGACCCTTGGCTCCCTTCAGGCTCAACCCAAGTGCCGCCTCCCAGGAAGCTCCAACTAAGTAAATCCTTTTATTTTGTTTCGTCTAGATCCTATATGTGCCTGTATACATCCCTGCCCCGCTCCCATGTAGAGCCTCTTGGAGGGCAGGGATTAAATATCTCACTCCTGTCTTTGCCTCCCCAGAGCCCGGCACTGTGCCAGAAACAAATGAAGAGTTTAATGAATGCCTCTGGTTTGACTGACTGGAGACTGGATGAGGTCTAGGATTCCGAAGCCACCGGGGGAGCTTCCGGGGTAAGGAACACGTGGCCTCCCCGCCCTCCCCCATTTCCGGGTAAACACGGTTTACTCCGCGGCCCCGCCGGGCCTGACGCCGGGGGGTCTCCGCTCCCCACCAAGCCTCCCTGGGCGACCAGTGTCGGGAGCTCTCCCCGCTCCTCAGACCCATTTAAGTGGCCCGACCATCTCACCATATTGACGGCTGGGGGCCCGTCGAAGAGCCGCCGAAAACGCTTCCAAACTCCAGACCCTCAGCAGCTAGTGTCCGCCTCCCCAGGAGCCGGAAAAGAAAAAGGGTCTCCCTTCAAAACTCCCGGACTCAACCAGAGGTTTCGGAACTTCCGTTCCGCTTCGCTCCGCCTTCCCTTTCCCAGTGCTTACCGCTTCCGACCAGAGGAGGCCCGGGCGGAAGTCACCGGAGGCCGCATTTGGCTGTTGCACTTCTGCGGCCGGAGGCGGAGCGGAGAGCACCGACTTCCGGCTAGTGCCTCGAGTAGATGGCCGCGGAGGCTTTGCAGAGGCTGTAGACCGACCCCCCCACCCCAGGCCAGCCGAGCGTCCGCTCCGAGGGGACAGCTGTCCCTCAGGTGGGTCCTGACGAGGACGAAGGGCTTTGCGATGGATTCCCGGGGTTTGCTTTTCTGACCACTCCGAGATTGTAAGGTCCCTGAGGACTGGTATCCCAGGACCGTGTCCGGTCTGAGCCCAGCAGCCAATGCTTTAGACTTGTAAAACAGAACCAAATTAAATTATATTGCAATGCACCTCAGATAACACACTGGAAATCAGCTAGACCATAGTTTCTGAAATTTGAGGAGAAAAAAATAGACAAGCCCAAATGTACATTAAGAATTGGTGTGAATAAAACCAGAGACATTTGCAGCATGAATGATCTGGCTGGAGTTACATCGTTTTTTTCCTGATGTGCACTGCATACTTCGGGCCTCTAGAGGGCACTTTTGTATCATTACAGCCTGTATTTTCCGCTCTGAATGGCCCTTAGTAAATGTTTGTAGACTGACCGTGAATGAATGAACTTGAGCAGGCTGTGCTCAATTTCAGAGCAATATGGGGGGAATTAGGACTCTAAAGTGCTGAGGTCACTGAAAATCAATCGACTATATCTATTATTACTGGTTTTAGACAACAGAAACGCATTCGGTTAGGAGGCAGATTTGGAATTCGAATATGAAAATAAACAGTGGGTCTGGTCCTTAGGAAAGTAAATGTTTTTCAGAGTACATTTGACTTTAGGGCCAGAATGGAAAATACAGGCTGTAATAATATAAAAGTGCCCTCTAGCGGTACATCTGGGAAAAAATGATTTAATTCCAGCAGGAAGATCATTCGTGCTACAAATGTCCTTGGTTTTATTTACACCAATTCTTAATGTACATTTGGGCTTGTTTGTTTATTTTTCTCCTCAAATTTCAGAAAGTATGGTCTAGCTGGTTTCCAGTGTGTTATTTGAAGTGTATTGCAATATAATTTAGTTCTGTTTTACAAGTCTAAATATAAGACATTGTGGATAAAAAGATAAAAAGCAAACACACGCATTTTCTGCCTTCAGGGAACTTACCCTTTAATGAGGAATGCAGTTATTTAAACCGATACAAAATAAATGGAAAGTAAATTTGGGGAGGGGGAGAGCACCAAGAACCTAGGAAATTGGGAAAGACTTTGTCGTATTTGAGCTGAACTTTAAAAGGAGTTATGGATTCCAAGAGGCAGAGTTAGGAAGCAGAGTATTCCAGGCATGGGAGACAATCTCTACAGGGGCAAAAAGAGTAATATTGAGTAAGGGGAACAGGTAATAGGTGAGTTTGAAGAGAACAGAGTATAGGAAGGGGAGTGATGTTAAGTCAATCAGGGAGCAGGACATGGATGATTATTCACCATAAGAAGGAGTGTCAGACTGAGTGGAAGAGGATCAGGAAGAAGCAGTATCACGAAAATCCATGTAGGAGAGAGAATCCTGGAGGAGGAAGTGGTCAGTAGTGTTAGGTGCCATGGAAAGGTTAAGAAGAATGTTGACTGAGAAAAAGCACTTGGATGTGTACTTGGGGCTGCCTGCCATAGGAGGCGCTAGCTCAGGTGGTAGAGGACTTCGGTAACTCTTATTAGGTAGCATATTGCCCAAGAACAGGGAAAAAATGTTAACAAATATATGATTTTTTCTGTTGTGTTTTTTTTTCTGTATTCATATATGACACTTGAATCCTATTTATCAGTTTCCTGTTACGGCACTTCAGCTATAGATAGGGAAGTAATTAGGTCTAAAGGATAGAAAGCAATCTACCCACTCTGCTTGAGAGAAACTAGAACTGTATGTGGAATACTGACATTTTCATGAATATCTTAGATATCATTTTTTCTGCTGCTTAAATTATTTTACGATGCTTTGGTTAGAGCACCAATCTTTACTTTTAACATTTTGTTTCAAATGAGGAATTTAATTTTGGGGATAAGGGGAAAATATTAAACCTGAGAATCAAATATGTGTTTTCCCATTTTTAGGTAAAATTTTGATTTTCTAACTAATTTATTAATTTTTTCTTAAGAAAGTTAAGAAAAATTACTTTCCACATTTACCCATTAAAATACTTAAATTCCATAATTTAAGTATTAAAATTTAATTCTGTCATTGTGTTCTTTTTCTTTCAGTGAATAAATAGGACCATGATGTTGACAAAATTAAGGAAATTTATAGTGAATCGACAGAAAGTATCCAGTTGGCATGTTAATGTAAGTTTTTATCATTCCAAATATTTGTTTTTAAATGTCTACATAGCATCATAGATTTAGAGCTGCAAAGGGACCTTCCAGGCCATCTAGACCAACCCCTTGTTTTACTGATGAAGAACTGAGGCCCAGAGAAGTTCAGTGATATGTATATAAAATTTGGTACTTGAACCAGAATTACTCATGAAATGGTTGTTTCGATAAATAGATATAGATATACATACACGTACATACACACATATCCCAAATTGTCAAGTTTACTGCCTAAACCTCATTTTATTGTACCCCAAATAATTTAAAGACTATCATATAAAAAAAGTTACAAAGCAAAGTTAGGTTAATTTTAAAAATTTACTAAAATAACCAAAATAGACATATATAGCAAAATTGTGTTTTTGTGGAACATAGAAAGTGCAATTGTATGACACGTGTTAGTGTTAAGCTAGGCTGTTACTTGATTTGCTCACCTTATTGGGACATACGTTTTTCTACATAGAGGAAGCATCTTATTTGAGAATAATTAGTGACCCTTGGTTAGATATACAGACTGTGATAGCATTCAGTGAATGTTTTAACTTTCTGCAGTTAAACTGTTTTTTAAACCCAGAAACTAGTTATGGGCTTGCTGAGTTATCTATTTCAGAATCTCAGTTTTCTATCACCTGTCTTCCCTAAAGTAATCAGCACATTCTGAAAAACGTTCCTCTCCTCCCTGAGGTAACAATTAGTTAAAAGTCTTAATCAGGGTTTCCTTTTTAAGGTAGTGATTTAGTCGTAGGTTTAGAACTAAAAAAGGCATCTGTGAGGCCATGAGACCCTCATTTACAGAGAAGGAAACTGAGTCCCAGAGAGATTAAATAACTTAATCTAAGATCACACCAGAAGTAAAAAAAGGAAGAATTTGGAGCCAAGTCTTCTGACTTCAGGTCCAGAGTCCTCTGCATTAATTGGTTGTGAATCTAAAACCTGTCTCTGCTACTTACTACCAGTGACATGGAGCAAGTCACTTAACCTAGGCTTTACTTTCCTCCTGCCCTGAGAAAGAGTTTTTTTCCCTTTGTGTGGTAAGAATTCATTCTATACAAGGAAGTTCATTTTTGAATTTCTTCTCAGTTGACAGACTATCTTCTTAGAACAATCTGCCAAACTTCCTTGCTGCAGGATTTTTTTTTTTTTAACAAATTGCTTTGGTCCTGATCCATTCACAAAAACCCAGGATTTTGCAAAATCTCATTAATGAATAGGATGCATTCCAGACACATTTTCTTGTCAGATATTTACTAGTACTCACAAGTCCCTTAACCTCTTTGATCGGCAGTTTCCTTATCTGTTGACGTGCAGGGTTTGTACTAAATGATCTCTAAGAGCTTTTCTAGCTCTATGATTTTATGACTTTAAATAGAAATACTGTAGAAGATGTAGACATGTGTTAGAAAAGGGAGGTTATGGTACAAATCTGTCACTAAACATTAGTTAAAATTGCATGAAATATGCTGACAAGCTTTAAATAGGCATTTTGGAATTCTTGGGACAGAAAAAAATGCAATTAATGCTGTAGGGCAGTGGTGTCAAACTTAAAAATAGATCCTACAACCCTATGTTGACTTAGAAAACTATAAATTAACATTGTCTATGTTGTATTGTGTTTTTCATTTTGTTAAACATTTCCCAATTACATTTTAATCTGGTTCAGAAGGAGTTTGACCAGTTTTATACCTCTGTTGTAGGTGGCTGGGATGCTCTAGGCCCTAACAGAAGTTTGTGATGATATTTTCTTCATTACCAGGGATTCCCAGGAATCTGTTGACCTTAGCTATAGCCAGTCCAACCCCACCTCTGCACCCTCCCCCCCCAAAAAAAAACCCAAAACAAAACCAAATTATCCTCCCTAGGATGTATTTGGGAAAGAATACCCATTTACCTTTCTAATTTATTTCCTCTCCCTCCCTCCCCCAAGTCACCTTAGAGGACAGTGTGAAATTTATCTTCTGCTGCAGCCTCACTTGTAGTGATTTTAGGTTGTCAGTTCCAGAAAGGTTAGGAGTCCCTTATTGTAGGATTTAACAGAAATGTAAAGGACCAGATTGTCCCCAGGCAAAGCATATAATGCAAATAGGAAAATAACAATACAAAAGGAAGTTTGCTTTTTTTAGGTGTGTTTTAGTAAAACTAACTTCTCATTTTTCTTTTTTTTCACAGCACATGTGTTCCTGTAGAACAGGAATGATTTTAAAGGGATTAATATCACAAGCTTTTCTCAGAAGGAATTATAGTTCCTTACCAGGTATAGGTTTTGGTTACATCTCAATTTGCCTTAAATTTTTTCTGTCTTCTTTTATTTCTCTTCTACCCTTGTGAAGTCCTTGAGAGCTGCTATTAACATTTTGTCTTAGCCATTATATCTCTCTTACCATCTAACAGAGTGGCTTCATATGACAGGTATTCCATAAGTGTTTGTGGATGTTGAAATATACAGTCCTGCTTAAGTTCAGAGTGACCCTCTGAGGGCCTCAAAGTCTAAGAGATTCTGTGTTCTAAGAGAATTGTTTCGTGTGTGTGTGTGTGTGTGTGTGTGTGTGTGTGTGTATATATATATATATATATATATAATATATATATATATTACAAAAAATGAGCTTTTTATTCTTACAAGTGGTATTTTTCTTTTGTCCCATGCCTTGAGGTCAGAGGGATGGTAAGGGCAAACAGAAAAGTCCTTAAGAAGAATAGGGGAAGGAGCGGGCAGGATGGAAGCTGTGTTCTCCTCTGCCTTGGGAATCTCAGAAAAATCCAAAGAGTTGGCTGATGTAACCAAATAGCCTTGAGATCCGTTCATAGATTTCTGACTACTGAGTGGGTAGTTGTGCTGTAAAATATTAACTTCTTTTTCTTAAAACAAATGCTCTTTATACTATCCCTGGTATACTGCTACTTAAACCTAAAGGAATAGAGTAAATGACTTGTAGTAGTTGGAGACTATATTAATATTAATGCAATGTTAAGATTGCATTAGGAGTTTTGACATTACATTGAACTTACAGTCAGTAAAAATGTCTTTTTAAGTTCTTTTAAATTTTATGTTAAAACTTTCAAGTCTTTCAAAAAAAATTTTTTTACATGCTTTTATAATGTCTGTTCCACAGAACCCACTCCCTGCCAGTTGATCAACAACCAAAAAAAAAATCGCAAAATAAAATAAAGCCTTCATCCAAAACATACATAACCCAAGAAAACAAATTTCCGCATTGGCGATGCCCAAAAACATACTCCTCTTTATACATTTTAAGTTATTTATACATTTTAAGTTTATCATCTCTTTGTCAGGAGGTAAATGGTATGTTTTTCTCTTCAGGCTTCTGGACTTATGGTTTGTCATTTCATTGATCAGAATTCCAAGTCTTTCAGAGTTGTTTTTCTCTATAATGTTGTCATTGTATAAATTATTCTCTTAGTTCTGGTCACTTTGCTCTGTAAAGTTCATAGAGGTCTACTCTTTTTCCTCTGAAATTGTCCATTTCACCTTTTCTTACTGCACAATAATATTCCATTATATTTATATTACAATTTATCTATTCCAAAATACAAGGATACCTCCTTAGTTTCAGTTTTTTAGCTACTATGAAAAAAGTTGCTATAAATATTTTTGTAGAAGTCTTTTCACTCTTTCTTTGCTTTCACTGGGGAATGGGCCTACTACTGGGATAGCTAGATCAAAAGGAATGCACAGTTTGGCAATTTTGGGGATATAGTTCCAGAATATAGTCCAGAATGACTGGACTGATTCATACCTCCATTAACAGTTAACTAATTTTGCCTGTTTTTCTACAAGGCCGTTGGATGTGAGTCTTTTTCCTCTTTTGTCATCTTTGCCAGTCTGATGGTTGTGAGGTAGAACCTCAAAGTTGCTTTAATTTGCATTTCTCTAATTATCATTGATATATAGCTTTCTTATATGGTTTTAGGAGCAGCTAGGTGGCATAGTGGATAGAATACCAGGTCTGGTGGCAGGAAGAAGACCTCAGATTCGGCCTCAGACACTTACTAGCTGTGTGACCCTGGGCAAGGCCCTTAATTTCTATTTACCTGTTTTCTCATCTGTAAATTAGGAATAAAAATAGCACCTCTATTTCAGAGTTGTCGTATCAAACAAGAGAATTGTAAAGCACTTAGTACAGGCACATTGAAAGGCATATAGAAAACACTATATAAATTTAGCTATTGTTGTTGATGGCTTGGATTTCTTCCTAAGAAAACTTTCTGTTCCTATCCTTTGACCATTTATCTATTGGGGAGTAAGTCTTAGTTTTAGACATTTAAATCAAGGATTTCCTCTACATTCAAAGGGTGTTTTCCTCCAAATTTTTTTTGCAGGTCGCCCCAGAATCCTTTGGTGTGCTGTAAGTAGCTGGTGGGCCACAGATTGTGCAGGCCTGATTTAGATCTTTTCTTTGTATGAGGTGTGAGGTGTTGCTTTAAGTCTAAATTTCCAGTTTGTAGTCCAGTTTTCCCAGTAGTTTTTGTCAAATAGTCTTTTCCCCAGTAACTGAGGTCTTTGTGTTTATCAAACACAGTGCTGCTGTTTGTTTGCTTTTCTATGTTATCTGTTGTTGGAACTTAATCTGTTCCATTAATCAATTCCTTTTACTTTTTAATGTGCATCAAAAATCATTTTAAAGATTACTGCTTTGTAGTACAGTTTGAGAACTCCTTCCTTCCTTCTTTTATTTTTTCATTGTTTCCCTTGAGATTCTTACCCTTTTCTTCCTCCATATGAATTTCATTATTTTTTTCTAGCTCCATAAAATATTCCTTAGATTGTTTGATTGGTAACAGCACTGAGTAAGTAAATTATTAAGTAAAATAATTTATTTTTATTATATTTGTTCAGCCTATCCATGAGCAATTAATGTTTCTTCAGTTACTTAGGTCTCTGTTTCTGCAGAGTGCTTTTAGTTGGATTCATATAATTCTTAGGTGTATCTTTGTACAGAGAAACTTGCCACAAAGATTTTTTTCCCATTTACCTTCTAATTTTAACAATATTAGATTTGATGTGTATCTATTTTAAGTAGCATTTCTCTTTCTAGCCCTTTCTACTGAGTTTTGTTGGTAACATACAGGAATGCTGATGATTTATATGATTTTATTTTATATCCTACAGCTTTGTTAAATTTATTAATTCATGACTTCAATTAAATTTTTTTTGTTTTTTTGTTTTTTAGCAAGGCATTCCTTGCCCGAGGTCACACAGCTAGAAAGTGTCAGGTGTCTGAGATCTGATTTGAACTCAGGTCCTCCTGACTCCAAGGCCACAGCTCTATCCACTGCACCACCTAGCTGCTCCTGTCAACTCTTTAGGGTTTATAAGCAAATTTTAATCATATTGATGAAAAGCAATAGTTTTGTTTCCTCTTTGCCTATGCTTAGTGCCTGAATTTCCCTCTTTTGCTTTATTGCTAAACTAGCATTTCTAGTATTGTGTTAAACATTACTGGTAAAAATGGACTTTCTTGCTTTATTCCTTTAGTGTTTCTCCACTACATGTAATACTTGCTCTTTGATTTAAGTAGATAGGTTCACTTGTTCCTGTGCTTCTTAATGTTTCTAATAAAAATGGATGTTTGAGTCTTTTCGCATCTATTGATATAATCACATCTTACTAACATGACTTATTATTTACAGTCTTCCTTATGTTGAACCTACCTTTTTCATGGCACAAATCCAACCTGGTCATGGTGTATAATTTTTTTAGTATTTTGTTGCAGCCTATTTGTTAATGTTTTATTTAAAGTTTTTGTGTCAGTGTTCATTAGGGATGTTGGTCTGTAATTTTCTTTCTTTACTTTGTCTTTCTCTGTATTGAGACCATATTTGTATTGTAGAAAGAGTTTGGAAGAGTGATTTCTTTTCTCATGGCAAACAGTTTATACGGTATTGCTGTAAATCGTTTTTTGAATGTTTATTTTATGAATATTTCACGAAGCAAGTATTCTTTTTCATAATCCTAGGTGTCTTGCTACCTAAACCTAGAGAAATAGAACAAATGACTTCTAGAAGTTCAACACAATTTAGTCTTAAGATCACATTGGGTTTTTGTTAACAGTCACATTGAACTTGCTGAAATATCCATATCTTTGTATGTGTGTTATTGTTAAATTCTATCTTATACTTTCATGATTAAGTATTTGAACCTTGTTGCAAGACCTTTTAGTTCCCTTATAGTTAGTGATAGTAGTATGTTTTTATTATATACAGGGAAACTGTAAGGGAAATACACCAATTAACTCTTGGACAGAGGGAATGAGTAATGCCAAGGAAATTTAGGTAGCTGTTATAATTCAACTCAACAAACATTTATTTAATGCCTACTATATGAATAGTAGCTGTGTGACCTAAGCAAGTCACTTAACCCTGTTTGCCTCAGTTTCCTCATCTGTAAAATGTACTGAAGAAGGAAATGGCAAACCACTCCAATATCTTCACCAAGAAAATCCCAAATGGGGTCACAAAGAGTCGGACATAACTGGTATGACTCAACAACAATGTATGAATAGTGTTGTGCCAGGCTCTGGCATTCGAAGACAATAACATCAATATTCAAGAAATTTTCTGCTGGTGGGATACAAAACGGACCGAGATAAGTAAATAATAGAAGTGTGCGAAGACAGTAATAACTAAGAAGGAGGATAAGGGAGGGACAGGAAGAGGGATGAAATCAGGGAAGATTTCATAGAGGAGGTGCCACCTTAGCTAAAACCTTGAAGAAAAATGGACATTTTAATAAGTAAAGGTGATGGAGCACATTCTGTTTATTTATTTATTTATTTTTGGTTAGGCAGTGGGGTTATGTGACTTGCCTACAGTTACACAGCTAGTAAGTGTTATTGTGTCTGAGGCCGGATTTGAACTCAGGTCCTCCTGAATCCAGGGCCAGGTGCTCTATCCACTGTGCCACCTAGTTGCCCTTGAGCACACTCTAGATAAAGGAAATAGCTTGTGGGGACGCATGGAAGCAGAGGATGAAATCTTTAGTTCAGGATATAGCCAGTAGTCCTTTAATTAATTTTGGCTCCTTTATTTCAACTATGCTGAATATGGGCTTTATAGCATCCTTTAGATCTTCAGACCCTTTCAATGTCAGGTGTTTGATAAATTCAGTAAAAACATTTTTTGTTTTTATTAAAATTCCTCATGTTTTCCTAGGAATCTGGGGAAAATGTGAATTGTAGAAAAATTTACAATGAAGTAAATTCATAAATTGACTAGAGTTTTGCTTTAATTTGCTTTAATAATAAAGGTTATTATGAACACTAAAAGTTACCATGGTCAGCTTTTCTTTTTCTAGCAACCTAAGTTTCTCAAGGAACAAATTATTACAGTTCCTGTTCCAGTGATACCTTTAACATTAACCTAGGAGGCAAGAATGAAAAGCTTTTACTATGTGCAGAGTATTGGACTAATCCATGAGGATATAAGTAGAAAAACAAGACAGCTTCTGCTCTGAGGGAGCTATGGTGGCTGCAGGGCCTGGGCTGGAAGCAGGGCTGGTGCTCTGAGACGAAGTAGTGCTGCTATTCCAAGGGTTCTTGGGCTCAGGGTCTGAGGGAGCACCAACTGCCTTCAGTCTTTCTCTCCAAATCATTGATGATTCAGCCAGACTGGCTTGTCTGCCCTGTGGGTAGAGTTGCTTGGCTGTTGTTTAAAGGTGAAAAGCACATGAAGATGCTAACTGCTCACTAGGATCTTTCTGCTCTTCAGCATCAGTTTTCACCATAAATAATGAGACTGTTTATCTAGAGTTTAGTGGAAATGTAGTACAAGTTCTAGTGACTCAGTATTTTCATTTTTAATTGCATCAGTTCTATAAATTTAAGATGTAGAAGTTGTAAGACCATAGGCTTAAAATCTCTTCGTATAACCTTGAAGTTTTTTTGTTTTTTAAGAACTACTGAGGTAAACATGTTTTGTTACTGTTTTTTTCTTAATTTTGGTTGCAGAAGAAATTCTAGTTACTTGAAAGCTTAGGGTGAGTTGGTTTTTAGTTGGTTTAAGCTTATTTGGAATTATCTAGACTTACAAATTCTCTTTTTTTCAAGTTTCTTACATAAACTAAAATTTCTGATTTTGCCCTTTTCCTTCCTCTTTTGTATAATAGAAAATGATATCAAATCTCTACGCTCCATCATCAACCCTCCTATGACTAAGTAAGTAGTTTCATAGACTTCACCAACTTTTATAATCATTTTAATTTGTGAGGCTGCTTTTTTCTTCATTTATGCTTTATTAATTTAGAGAATGCTACAACTTCTATTACTTATGCCTGACTAATAATAAACTTGAATATGTATCTGAAAATCCAGATTGCCTGCTGTTTGTCTCTCAGTAATTTAATTTTAATAGTGTAGAAATCATGCCATGTTTTCAAGATTTTAACAGTTTCTTTTATGATCATTTCTATCTAATTAGGACTTATGTTGTAAAGGCACATTGAGATATATTTTCTTTCTTTTTTTTAAGCTAAGTTTTGCCATCCCTATTATACAGATAACATAAAATACCATACCATTTCATAATTAAATATACGTCACTGCTTTAAAAAGCTTGAAACACAATATAAATGTGTTTTTTCCTTACTTGCAATTCCATTAAAGGCATTCAAATCACTTATTTTAAATTAATTCTTATGTTTACTCATTTAAATGAATTAGTATGTTGTCTAAAATATTTTTTTTCTTTAAACAGAATTCGTAACATTGGAATTATGGCTCATATTGATGCAGGCAAAACAACAACCACAGAGAGAATATTGTATTATTCTGGATACACCAGATCTTTAGGAGGTGAGAATGGTTTTCCCGTCACAATTAATTTAAATAGAATCGTAAAGTATTTTGACGAAGAAATGGAATAAATGGCCTTTCATCCTTCCATGAGAGTAGTAAGCTTATGGTCATTTTGCTGAAGTATTGATATATTTTTATCCTTTCTCTGGGTTCTAGAGTCTTGACATTATACTGAATTTAGAGTAATATTTGTCCAAAAGAAAAAAATCCAGGAATGAAAATTTGCAGTTTTTTCTCCATATTTCAGTGTTTCCATCGCTTCTGGTACCTCAGGCGTGTGCTTCCATTGTTTAAATTTCTCGGACAAACATACTCAATAAGGTGTGGCACAGTTGGCACCAAGAGTGGAATTACTGTGCCTTTCTTCTCGTGGCCCAACAGTTACTACAAACTAAACGTTCTTATCTTTTATCATCTTTGCCCATTTGATGAATGTGAGAGAAAACATCAAAGTTGTTTTAATTTGTGTCTCTTATTGTTAGTGGTTAACAATAATTTTTTGCATGGTGATTGATATTTTGCATTTCTCTTTCTGAAAACATTCCTTAAGCACTTAAGCTATTGAGGAATAGCTCTGTCTATGAAATCATAACAATTCCAACTATATCATGAATGTTATGGGAAGAAAAAGAAACAGATATTTAGTAAGTGTCTACTATGTGCCAGGCAGACAGCGAGGTGGTGTAACGGAGAGAGTGATAGCCCTGGAGTAAGGAGGATCTGAATTCAAATCTGACCTCAGACACTTACCAGTTGTGTGACCCTGGGCAAGTCAGTTAACCCCTTTTGCCTTGTTTCCTCATCTGTAAAATGAACTGGAGAAGGAAATGCCAAACCACTCTAGTATCTTTGCCAAGAAAATGCCAAATGGGGTCACAAAGATTCTGACACGACTGAAAATGACTAAACAACAGCAGCAAAAATGCCAGGCCCTATGCTAAGCCCTTTACAAAGATCATCTTATTTGATCCTCACAGCGACCTATGTGGCAGGTAGATGTTATTGTTATCCTCATTTCATAGTTGAAGAAACTGAGGAAGACATGGTAAGTGACTGCTATTGTCTGAGGTTTGGTTTCAACTCAGATTGTCCTTGCTCCAAGCCCACCACTCCATCGCTATGTCATCTAGTTACCTTGAATCAGATTTTTAGCAGAATATTTGAGGCAAAGATTTTTCCAGTTAATAATTTTAAAGTGTAGCTGAATTGATTTTCTTCATGCAGAAGTTTTTTAATTGTATGTGGTTGAAACTGTTTATTTTTCTCCATTTAGTTAATTAAACCAGGTCTTCATGGCTTGGAAGTTGTTTCTCTATACATCATATTATTTTTTATTGATATGTTTTCCAAAGTAACTTAAACTATTTTGCCACGAAAAAACAAAAATTACTGACTAAATTAATGTATGTGTCTTTTTACTGGGTAGATGTTGATGATGGGGACACAGTGACGGATTTCATGGCCCAAGAGCGAGAAAGAGGCATTACCATTCAGTCAGCTGCTGTTACATTTGATTGGAAGGGGTATAGAGTTAATCTAATTGATACACCAGGTATAGTACAATTGATACTTTGATACTCTTGGTACAGCAATTCTAACCAGGTACACATTGTTATTAATTTGTTGCACTTTAAACATTTTATTTATAATCTTTCCCATAGGTCATGTGGACTTCACTTTAGAAGTTGAACGCTGTCTAAGAGTATTGGATGGTGCAGTAGCTGTATTTGATGCTTCAGCAGGTGTAGAGGTAAAAAATATTAAAGTAAAATGGAGACTGTTGTGATACTAAACAAATTGGTTAAGGTCTCTGAGATTTTAGTATTATTTACTGTTTTGTGTATAGCTCAGATAAGTCAAAGTTTTGTTACAAAGTATTTAATAATTTAATTCTTGTATTGAGTCTTAGATGGAAGGTATTCATATTTTTTTTAATCATAGTGCCATTCTATAGTAATGTAAAATGTAAAATTTAGCATAATGAGACCTTGCTTAGCTATCTTAAATTACATTGTGTTACTTTTTTAAAGTATAATTTCTCACAGTTAGATTTTAAAATGCATTCATTATGGATCTCCTTCTTCTGTTCTCTGTGCTCAGATATTTTTTTTTTTGGCTAGGCAGTGGGGTTAAGTGACTTCCCCAGAGTCACACAGCTAGTAAGTGTTATGTGTCCGAAGCAAGATTTGAACTCAGATCTTCCTGCATCCAGGGCCAGTGCTCTATCCACTGTACCACCTAGCTGCCCCCCAATTTTTTTTTTATGTACAGTTTGAAAGCTACATTATTTCCTTCTTCTTTATTAATGTTGTGAACCTTGACCTGTAGATGCTGTTGCCTTTAAGCTCCAAATGAAAGCTATGACAGGTACCGGTTCTTACCTATCATTTAAAGTCTAGCCTAATTACCATCTCCCTTAGGAAGCTTCCCTGTTCCCTCCAGTCAATGATGACCTTCCTTGTTAAGATTTCATGCATCATCGTACATTCCATTGCAAGACTGTCTTGTGGAAAGAACACTGGCCTTATAATTTGATTACTGAGCCTTAGTCTCCTCATCTGTAAAATGAGGAAATAATACTTTTCCCGCCCATCTCACAAAGCTAACACTGTATGTCATATATGTTAAGTATAGACTGGTGATTTCTTATATTCTTTTCCTCTCAGTGTTGTCTTATATTGTACCTAAGTATAGATGTTGTAGTCCCCCAGTAGAACAAAATATCTTTGGGAAAAGGAGTAATTTTTTTCTTCTAAAAGAAAACCTCAGTGACAGCCTCATTTTCATGGTGCCTTCATTTCTGAATGGAACCACCTCCCTCCCCCAGAGAGCCATCCTTTGTGACAAAGAGCAAAGCAAGAAGGGAAAAGAACGTCCAATCAGGACATCTGTCCAATGTAGACAAGGTGTGCAGGCCACGCTTATCATCCCCACTTCTGCAAGCAAAGGGGAAGGTGGACATTCTCTTCTCTTTGGGGCAACTTTTTTGTTTCTGTCTTTGGTGACCCCAGCACTTACACAGCCTGTGAACATGGTAGACACTTAACAATTATTTGTTGAATTGAGAGTTGTCTGAACATGGGACAGAGTTGACTATCAACTACTGACTGTTTTTGTGGTGTTGTCTGAGGCACTGCACTTAAAAAAAAAGTCATCGATATCTTTTACTTTCATATCATTTACATTTCCCTGTATATCTCCTCCTCTTGCTAGAAATTCACACCGTAGTCTTTTTGCTTTCTAATTGAATCAGAGATCTAGAGCTGGAAGGGACCTATCTCAGATATTATCTTATCCAATCTCCTGATTTTACAGATGAGGAAACTGAGGTCCAGAAAGGGGAAATAACTTGGCTAGTGTCACACAGATAGTAAGTGACAGAGGCAGAATTTGAACCCAGATCCTTTGATTCCAGAGCCAGTGCTTTTTTCACTTTATTTCCAATCTTCCTGTAAGTTTACTCTTGTTGTTACTCTATATTTGCCAGATATTTTCTTGTTAAGAGACACATTTTATTTCCTGCATGGGCTTTGCCTTGATTTTGTGACATGTTTAAATAACAATTTCCAGATTTATGATGCATTAAGTGCTTTAAGGCAAATAGTAGGGGATTTATTTTGTTAATTTGTTCATAGATATTTTCTGTGTATGTTTTGGTTGTTTTTCCTAGTATTTCTACAGAAGTAACTTGTATAAGTCTCCCTTTTAGGTGGACCTTTCTATGCTTTGGGGGCAGCTGGGTGGCTCAGTGGATAGAGTACTGGGCCTGGAGTCAGGAAGACTTATCTTCTTGAGTTAAAATCTAGCCTCAGACACTTATTAGCTGTACGGCCCCGGGCAAGTCACTTAACCCTGTTTGCCTCAGTTTCCTCAGCTGTCAAATGAGCTGGAGAAGGAAATGGTAAACCATGCCAGTATCTTTTGCCAAGAAAACCCCTCAAATGGTGTCAACAAAGAGTCAGACATGACTGAAAACTACTGAATAACAACAACAACAATTATGATTTTATCACCAAATGATGTTGTTTATGTATGGCTTCAAGCCTTAATAGACAGTGGTAGTTTATGGTATCTGTAGCCATAAAGCTTTATAACAACCCCATACTAAGTAATTTTTAGAATGGAATTTAGTGCTCACATTAAAAGAGGGGAAAAACACAAGTACTGATATTTGTTATATAGGTGTCTTCATGCTGTATGTTTTCTTTAAACGCGCGCGTGCACGTACGCACACGCACACACACACACACACACACAAAACCTTGTTAACTAACTTGCTATGAAAATAAGATTTTTTTTGTTTGAACCTAAAATTTCCTTAGTATATGGCACCATCGGTGAAAAACTTCCTCTTTAAATGCAGAGCTCCTATTTTAATACACCTTAGAATCTTAGAGAGTTGCTAAAGATTCTGAGAGGTTAAATAATGTATTGGTTCTGAGACTTGAACCCAGATTTTCCCCACTCAGAGGTTGGCTGTCTTTTCCCTATACCACATTGACTGTCTTGTGAAAATATAATCTGTAATCCATCCTTCTGTTATTCATTCCATATGACACTCCAAATTCTACAAGATCTTGCTATCAGGAAGTGTGAGCATGCTTTTCCATTATATACCAAGCATGTGCTGGCCACCGAGCAAATGGTTAAACCTAGAAGTATATACTGTATCTAACTAGATAGAATAGTTTAGTGTTCAATTAACAGTCCATTCTTAAATATGCAGAGCGAGCTTAATTCTACCTATATATTAAGTCATCAGAAATTGGAACATAAATTAGTCACTGTATTAAGGTAATGGATCTCTTGGGAAAACTTATGATTTTGCAAATATGGTGTTTGAATGCCAGGAAAAAAAAATTCCTCCCCAAATGATTTATCACTTTACACTGGTAGGACTAATATATTTTGTTAAATATTTGAAAATTAAGGGAAACTGAGAGAGAGTGGTCTAAGCATGATCATGATCAATTTATTGGTTAGGCTAGCAGTAACCAATAACTTGGATCTGTGGTCTCTCAGTAACCAGAGACCTCGAGGTAGGGCTTACTACCCTTCATTATAGATTTGGTAAATACAGAGTTAGGAAGGTGGGGAAGACAATGCGAATGGTTACAGGGGAGATAGCATCATAGAGGTTGGGACAACATGATTGATTACATCAAGGGTCTAGTGCCCATGTGGGGCTGGTAACCACCCCTCTCCAACAATTAAACATTATTTATTGTCTTAAGCAATCTGTCCCATCTTGTAATCTTTGCTAGGAGATCAGAGCTGCCAGACTTGCTGTCTCCTTGAAGACATTAAAAACTCTTCTAATTACACAAAGACAAGCAAGGACTGATGACATATCTTTTGGGAATGGTAACAAGTTAACTGGTTGGACTTAAACCTATTCAAGAAGTATCCCAGAGGGTAAGGGTATGAGAGATAATAATATTTTTTAAAAACTAACTGAATTAACTAAGTTAATTCAGAAGAAAAGCTAAATTCCCGAGCTCAACTCAAGGACATAAAAAGGTAGCTTTAGGCAGCTGCAGACTCAATTATGAAATTAATATAGCGTAAAATCAATTACATTCTAGAACAATACATTAGTAATCAATACAGTAGAAACTTGAGGTAGCATTAATTTTGATCTTTTCTTTTTTTTAAATGCTCAATAAATGTTTATTGAATTGAATGGTTATAATTAGCAAAATGATAGCATTTTACCCAGTGAGTGTGACAGTATAGATGGCAAAATGTAGTGATTCCACTTTTGATCAGTGTTAAACAGAAAAAAACCTAATTCTGCGTTAAAATTAATTTATGATTATGACATAATTATTCCATGCCTGGTAATAAATGTTTATTGTTGTCAAATAAGTTCATATTTTCCATTGTCTTTGTCTTAGGCACAGACTCTGACAGTATGGAGACAAGCTGATAAACACCATGTGCCTCGAATCTGTTTTTTAAATAAGATGGACAAAACTGGAGCAAGGTATTGAAAACGTTTGTCTTTTGTTTGTTAAAACAAGAAAATTATTTGGGCCTTTAATGAAATAGAATTGAAATTTAAAAAAAAAATTTTAATGGCATCTTCGTATCATTTTGTTAGTAATAAAGCTGTACAAAAGCAATTGAATTCATGCAAGAACATCTGTTGCTTTTGAAATGAACCCGTATGTGTATGTGTTTGTGTACCCTTATGTGTATGAATTATAATGAAAGGCAGAGAACTCATGAACAAATTTAAAATTAAAAGGGGAAATCTGTCAATGTCATACTCCTCCCTTCTCTCCCAAATCCCCAAACCATCTCATCCAACTCCACCCTTATTCCCCAAACTCGTGCAATATTACAATCTTGTAATGTTGCCATAACTCTCTAGCCACATCTAGGCAGCCAATTAGTGCTGACATTTCTCAGTACCCTCATCTCTGAACATCTGTTCTAACTCTATTACTGCTATCTCTTATCATTGCTCACACTGGCAAACCTCAGCAGACTTTCCTCTGCTGACAAAACCACAAACATTTCAAGTTGTATAGAATAAACTTCTATTCCTGTTATGTTGTTTTGTTCCTCAACCTACTGTGTGTACCCTCCACTAAAGACCTCCCTTGATGCCTCATTATGGTAGGGGTGGATGACCCTAAGTTTTTGAAGGCTGTCCCAGCCAAGTAAAAGCTAGAGCAGTCTTGCTCACTGGAATACTTTGAACCTTAGACCTCACTCACATAGCATTTATATTATATATTATGTTTCTTCTTCTTCTTCTTCTTCTTCCTTCCTTCCTTCCTTCCTTCCTTCCTTCCTTCCTTCCTTCCTCTTCCCTTCTTTCTCCTTTCTCTTTTCTTCTTTCTTCTTCATACAGGTTAAGTGACTTGCTCAGGATCACATAGCTGAGGCTGGATTTGAACTCATATGATACATTTTAAGTGGAACATTTTTATAATTATTTACTTATTTTAAGCCTGGGGTAATATAATGGCCCCTCAGGGAATTTATATTAAAAGAAAAGGTAGGAGCATTATCACAATGGCTCTGAGCCCTCAATTAAGAAATTTCTTAGCATTTAGGTAGAGGTTTAGTCTTTTTTTTAATTTACATTTATATTTACCTTTTGGTAAACACTAACCTCTTTGTGATTAAGTAAAAATTCAGGTTGCTTGATTTTGAGAAAAGAAGCAGTATGTTATAGTATCTGAATGAGACAGGCACTGGGAGGCAAAGTTGGAGAAAGAGGAATCCTTGAGGAAATGAGTTTCAGCTGGTGATGTCAGTGAGTCTTCTGGTTGGAGATGCCTATGGGGCCAGTGGTACTCTTTGATCTCTCTCTTACCTGCCTTAGCTCAGTCCTACTTTCTCTTTCTTCTTTTTCTAGTTTCTCCTGTACTGCTGATTTTCTTGCGTGGCTCATGTTCTCTCCACTCCCTGACAATGTGTTCACAGCCCGTGTAGGCTCTCAATATCTCTAGAGTTGAAATTTACAATCTGAACTGTGTAATAGTTCTGGGGAATCATCATCTACATATCTTCTGATAATTTTTTTTATCTTGTTTTATAAGTAGCATTGCAAATAGTCTAGGACAAATAACAATTTTTAGCAATTAAGTAGCTCAGTAGACCTGCTGGTGGGAGTTTCTACTGGCAGTGAAGTGGGTCAGACAGATTCGGCTGTGCTTGAGGTGGTCAGTTCTTGCCACAGTAGGTAATAGGCTTGCTGACTTTTTGTTTTTTTTGTAAACAGTTGGTCTCTGCAGACTAGTTGAAGACACTTTGGCCGTCTTTAGCTCTGGAGGCAGAGAGAGTGAAATGTTTCCTTTTCTGCCATTACGATTATCTATGAGACAAGCTACTTCTGTCATGTCTCCTGCTCCTGATTGGTTGATATATAAGTATAGAGCAAATGAGAATATTCTGTGTATGGATGTTAAGAAATGCACATAGAAAATCAATAGGACTCTGCAATAAACATAGAATGATAGTGAGAAAGAAGGTAATTGCCATCTTGGGACAACCATAGATCTAGAGGGGTGACAGAGAGAATAAATCTGTGAAAACTTGAAGCTTTAAAAATACTGGATTCAGGAAAGGAGGATACTTAAGGTGAAGGGTTTTCCAGGGCTGGGGAACCTGCAGCCTCAAGGCCACATGTGGCCTTCTGGGTCCTCGGGTATGGCCTTTTGACTGAGTCCAAGTTTTACAGAACAAATCCTTTCACGAAGGGGATTTGTTCTGTGAAGTTTGGATTCAGTCAGAGGACTGCACTTGAGAACCTAGAGGGCCATACATAGCTTTGAGGCCCCAGGTTTCCTGCCCCTGGTTTAAAGGGTAAAGGCCAAAAACTGGAAAGCAGTAATAGCTTAGGGGATTTGACCTAAAGGCTGTGGGGTCAAAGAAAAAGGGAATATAGTTTAAGGAAATTATGTGAGCAGAATTAAGGGAAATCTCTGAATGGGAGTGAAGGGAGGTGAGGAAAGTTAATCCCAGTGTGAATCAAGGAGAAAATCTGAGGCAGAAAGGACTTTATTGACCAAAAAGAATACCAAAGCTGGACCTCTCTGGATATAGTTTGTACACCAAAGCATGGACACTAATACTTTATACTCTCTGTGCAGAACATGTGGTAGGAGATGAGGGGGGGCAAGGATTATAGGGGTACAGGTGGAAGAAGGAGAAGCCTCACCTCCTCTACATAGTGGCATAACTTAAGTGCAGCCAAACTATCTGGAAAACCATCTTTTGCAGATAGACCTCAGGAAAATATTGATTTGAGTAGTGGGAGGTGTGATAGTCGATTAGGAGTGATGTGTATAAAACTTTGTGTTAAAGGTGCTTAAAGATACTTACAACATAGAGGAAGACTTGCTATAGGGGTCCTCGCACTATTATGAATATGGTTGGAGAATATGTGATTATTTATGTTATGGTCAAGTCAAAACTGGCTTCTGTTGTATTGTATTATATGTGTTGTATTTCTACATGACCTCGCCTAGAAGTGATACATTTTAAAATTATTTTTGTCTCTATTCATTAATCATTAATAATGATAATATTTTAAAAGTTGTTATGCTAAAATTATGACCTTTCTGGGATCCTGAGGTGTTGTTCACGCTGACTTCTAATGCCCGGGAAGGGGAGACCAGATGTCTACATCCAAGTAGGAGGTGGAGTAGGGGATGGGAGGATGGTGGCAGATGGTCTGGCAATAAAAATGAATCTGAATGCCAACCATAGGTTGCCAGCCTCTTAACTATTTGAAAATTGTGTTTGGCCTAGCTTGTTTTATAATAAAAACTGTATAAAATTAAGAAACACAAAGATGATAGGTACTATCTTTGTTCTTGAAATCTGAGACTACCCTCTCCTCTTTGACAACATTCATTCTGTCTCCTCTTTAAAAATCACTAGGCCCACAAAAATGGAACAGAAAATTTATGGAAAAACAAACAGTTCTTTGTCAGGTATCTTTGCCGTCATTGCAGACTAGAGGACATCTGAACAGGTGTCATGCAGGAGGTGGCCTTTGAGTTGATTCTTGAAGGACCTAGGATTTCAACAGGTGATCACAGGGAATGAGGACATTCGAGGCATTGAGAGTAGTTTGAGCAAAGGCATGAAGATAGGAAAGTATGTGCAGGCAACAAAAAATACTCATTTTGGCTGTACAGGGAACAGAGAAGTATGAATAAGGCTGGAAGGTGAGCTGTAGTAGACTAGACAGGGCCTTGAATGCCAAGTTAAGGAGCTTAGACCTTACTCTTTATGCAATCAGGAGCCATTGATGGGTTTTGAGTAGAGTAGTATCAGGATCAGTCTTCTGTGAGTAAGATAGATTAATTTGTTAGTGAATAAGATAGATTAGTTTGTTATGAGTTGGAGGGGGGAAGACTGGTGAGGAGATTCTGTAAGAAAATCCTGAAGGTTCATCTTTAGGTGTTAACATTATGTAGTGGAAAGTGATGGTTCTGGAGTTAAAAGACTTGAGTCTGATGCTACTACTTTTTAAATTTTATATTTTACCATATTTTTTTTCACATCTTATATTTTTACATCCCATTCATTTCTGAAAATATCCTTCTTCCCTCATCTTTCGGGTGGTGATTCACCTGGCTCTGCTGTTTGTATGACCTTAGGCAAGTAACTTAACCTTTATGAGCCTCGCTTTCCTCATTTGCAAAATGAGGATTTGAGCACATGACCTCCTAGTTCTCAATCTGTGAAAGTAGGGGTGTTTAGATGCATGAAGTTGTTCAAAAGGATGTCCTTTAGGAAACTGATAAAAGGAAGTTAGGGCCAGGTGTGTTGTTTTGGCACACACCTGTACCCTTTGCTACTGGGGAGGCTGAGGCTGAGACTGATAGGCAGCTTGAGCTGAGCCCCCAGGCTGCATGAAGAAGGGCAGGCTCTGCCCCAGGGCAGAAACAAGGGGCTGCTATGTTTCCAGTCTGGATGAGATGGGGAGAGCCAGTATGTTTCTTAAAGGAGGTTAGGGAACCTGGAAGGTGAGAGGAAAAGTATGTATTACTAAAATTGTGTGTGACCAAAATTTTTAAAAGTCATCTTGAACTGAGTTTACAGATTATATAACCTTTTTCTTTATAACTGTTTTACTTCCCACAGTTTTAACTGTGCTATTGATAGCATAAGAGAGAAGCTGAAGACAAAACCTTTGCTTTTACAGGTAAATTGGTTGACTTAATAACAACAGATTATTAAAATAACATTGGGGGCATATTTTTGTGAAGGGCCTGGACTGTGAACCGCTACCATCCTAGTTGAATGCTGATCTAATAATATTAGTTTCTTGCTTGCAGTTGCCAATTGGTGAAGCAAAAGCTTTCAGAGGACTAGTTGATGTTGTGACTATGGAAAAAGTGATTTGGACCCCTGTATCTAATTCTGATGATGGAAAACAGTTTGTGAGAGAGCCCCTTACAGAACTGAATGATCCTGAATTGCTCACGGAGGCTAAGGAAGCAAGAAATGCCTTAATTGAACAAGTAAAGTAAATATACTTGGTGCTTAAATTATATGGAATATTCAGGAGCTTTTTAAAGCCTTTATTTCATAATTATGGGAGAGGAGAAATGTAGTCTGGATTATCCTTCCTTTGTAGAATTTTAATAAGCAGGATTACTAATATTTATAGTGTCAGTCTGCAGAGAACAAAATATTGTACTACTCAAGTAAAGAAGTCTAATTACATATCTCATAAGATTATTTAAGAACCTGCAATTTTAACTTTCCTGCAGGGGAATTAGGTCTAAATCTATGCTGAGAACTTAACTTTTTCACTTTGTGAAACTTTACAGCTGTTGGTAAAATTTGTCATTTTCAAAGATGTTAATAGTAATCAAGACTCATGCTTTAAGCATTTCAGGAGAAATTTAAAGTTTGTACTTGTTATCTAACAAATAATGTTTTTATTGCCATGTGCAGAGAGATGAAACAATATATACATATTTATTGTGTTTAATATATGACTCTGGTCTCCAAGAAGCTTATGGGAGAGGCAAGGTGAAACATGAAATAATGATTGAGCAAAAGATAGGATAAGATGCGTGTTGTGTGCTGCAGAAAACAAATGTGTGAGAAGGAAAAGATCTAGTTAATACTAACTAAATGCCAGATTGACACTAGCAATAGTACAGAAATGCAGGTTAGTTTCTGTCATAGGTATCAGTGTTACAAAGACTTATGTTCCCTCCTCCCTTCAGGCTATTTGACTCAGAATTTTTAAGTTCATCCTTTGAACATCAGTTGTTTTATCAAATAGCTGAAGCATTTTCCTTATATTTCACAAAAGAAATTAACCATGATAAGATTATGAACTAGTTAATTTTCATGTTTAATATTTATCAACCACTCTTTGCTAAACATTCTCATCTTTTAAAAATATTTTCTTTTAATGCAGTCATGGTGAGAATAGGTGGGGGGAATTGGTTATCTTTTAATGTAGTGTAATGTGCTTATTTGATTACCTTGGGAATCTGGAAGACACATAAAAATTTACTACAATAGAAACAAAATCCACCGTTTTAGCTTTTCAGAAAAAAATCCTTAAACAGTTTACTAGACTGTTAACATTAAAGCTACCATTTGGAGGGGGCAGCTAGGTAGTGCAGTGGATAAAGCTCCGGCCTTGGAGTCAGGAGGACCTGAGTTCAAATTCAGCCTCAGGTACTTGATACTTAATAGCTGTGTGACTCTGGGCAATTCACTTAACTCCAATTGCCTCACCAAAAAAAACAAGCTACCATTTGGGGTACCTTTTATTATTTTCTAGGATACTGTGAATAGACATTAGCTGCTGGGATTTGACCAACCATGAGCTCAAGAAACTGATAATGTATGTCCTAATTTCATTTCCTTTTAGTTGTTTTTCTGGTTTCTTATCCTTTCTCTTAACCATTTTTGATATGAAGATATATGTCCATCTGTGAATCATTTGCATTTGCCAGTAAAGTGCTTAGTAAAGCTAAAATAAAAAACAGATGGGAACTATTACAAAGAAAATGTCAGGGACTAGAAGTGACTTTTTGCAATTATGGATGTGTAGCAAGAACTCTAAATTTGGAATGAGAAGAGTCTTGAGTCATGGATGTATGGGCTTGAGTAACCAAGTAATTGAACCAATATTTCTCATACTCACATACAAAATGAAGACGTGAGACAAGTTGACTCCCATCATCCCATCTGTTATTATTGTTACTGTTCACTTGTGTCCTACTGTTTGTGATCCCATTGTCCATGGGGTTTTCTTGGCAAAGATCCTGGAATGGCGTAGCCATTTCCTTCTCATTGTGTCCCCATTTTACAGATGAGGAACTGAGGCAAATAGCAGTTAAATGACTTGCACAGGGTCACACAGCTACTAAGTGTCTGAGGCTGGATTTGAACTCAGATCTTCCTGATTCCAGACCTGGTATTCTATCCACTGTACCACCTAGCTGTCCCTTCTTGCCCTGAGTTGATTCTGTGACAAAGCTAATGCACTAAAAGTTTATAATCCTGTTAAATATCCAACAGGTAACTATTTGCTCTTTTACTTTTATTGCATTTGGAACCTCTAGTTGTCTTAACAAAGATTTTTTTTTCTCTCAGTAATATTACATTTTTATTATATTTACGTGTAAGTAACTGTACTTGATGGAAATATACTGATTCATTTCTGTTGCAGGTTGCAGATCTGGATGATGAGTTTGCTGACCTAGTTTTAGGGGAGTTTATTGAAAATTTTGATTTGTTACCAGCTGAAAAGGTAAAATAGATCATAACATCAGCAAATATTTAAAAATCAAACAGATTCAAAATAAATCTACTGCTTGTGAACTTAAAGGGTGGTGATTGATGATCTACTGTACTTTATACACTCAATCTTTGGATATTAGAAGTTGACCTTTTGGGGACCATGTGAGTTCTGATAGAAGGGATAGTGTCTTATTCATCTTTGTTTTTTGTAAAATACCTGCACGGTGCATTGTAATAGTAAATGCCAAATAAATATTTGCATACCATAGTGAAAAAATTACTAGACCTGGAATCAAAATACCTGGGTTCTACTTCTAGTCCTGATTGGAAAGATCTGAGTAACCATGAGCCTCATTTTCTTTATCTGTATAATAGGGAGGATGATGCTACCTACTACCTACCTACCCTATGGTGAGAAAAGTACTTGATAACTCTTGGAGGTCTATATGAATGCAACTTGTGATAACACGAGTTTTATTCATTAAATTCTTTGTACAACTTTTGAAACTTTTTTCTTTTCAGATCTCTTAGTTTTAAAAGATTTCTAGAAAGAAATCTCAGAACATAAATTTGTCTCAGCAAATTAATTACTGGGTTTTCAGGCTAACTTTAAAATGATTTTTCATTTAATAGTTATTCTGAAGATTTTAAAATCTAAATATTTTGCTGTTTTATTTATTTGTTTTATTTTTTTTAATTAGCTGAACAAGAGGACAGGAAATCACACTGCTGGTTTTAATCAGCTGGTTTAATTAATGTTTAATTAAACATTAACAAATTTCATTAAGCTTCCTCTTTGCTCTGATTTGCCAGGTGCTTTCCATGTGAGCTTGGCAACCTTAGTGTTTCTTGCTTTTAGTTTCCTGAAACCAAAAGTTATCAAGTGCTGTTTTTGAAATGGTAATGTGTGAAATGAGGAATCAAGACAAACCCATAATCAAATCACTGATTTAGAACTGTGAGGGACAGTAGATGTCACCTAGTCCAGAGGCATCAACCATGCAGCCCACAGCACTTCTGAGCATGGCTGAACCAAATTAAAATACGTTGGGGAAATTTAACAAGATAAATGAAAGTACAATAAAACTTAGAGAATCTTAATATGTGGTTTTCTAAGTCAATATGCAGCCCGTAAAGAGTCTTACGTGTGGTTTAACAGTCCTCATTTCTGTTTGATGCCACTGACCTAATCCATTGTAATTCAGAGATTGAATCTAGGTCTCCAGATGTGAAAGGATCTTTAATCCAGTTTTGATTACTTGAAATTAGAGAATTATAAAGGAAATGTTTTTTTCTTTTATTTTTTTCTAAATGTCACCTGTGGTGATTTATTTCCAGTAACTTTTTAATTCTTAAAGTTAGCAATATTTTTTCCTTTGATTTTGGATTGTTGTTGCCCTTTTTTTTGTTTAAGAACGTGGTATATTTGAAAAATATAAAAGAGGAGGGTAGTTAGTTTAAGGGAAAGAGAGTCCTTGTTCTGTCCACTTATTCTGTACTGTATCTAGAGACACAAATTTATTCCATTTCATTCTTTTAAAAAAACACTTTTTTCATTATGAAATAGAAAATCGTGAACAAACACAACCATTTCCATGCCCAAAGGAGGCCAGAAAATGGGGATTGTCTATGAAACCATGAATCCTTTGCATATGATATGTTCCTTTTGATAATATACATTAAATATAACACATTGTACAATATTTCCCTGTTTGTCTGTGTAACCTCTTTGAACACCACTCTGGTTGCCTTTGGGCATTTTTAAATGTTTCCTTCTCTCTCTTGTATTGTTTTCTATCACTCTCACTGATCTCCTGCTGCATCTCTATCCTCTAACTATGGCAAATGAAAATCCACCCTTATGACAAAGTCAGGCAAGACAAATTTATATTTGTACGCTCTTGTCTGGAAATGGTTCATTCTGGTAAGTGTCTGAATAAACCCAAGTGAAAGCTTTAATATGTTAGGTATAAACTGCTTTTCTTTTGTATTCTTTGTAGTTACACCCTGCAATACGTAGAGTAACTATGACTCAGAGAGCTGTTCCTGTGCTCTGTGGAAGTGCCCTGAAGAATAAAGGGGTGCAGCCTTTATTAGATGCCATTACCATGTATCTGCCTTCTCCTGATGAACGCAACAGTGAATTTCTGTAAGTAAAAATGGAAGTATGTTTTTAATTGCTTAATTTGTAGGAAAGAAATAAAAAATAATTTATTTTTTAAACTTTAGTTAATACTTTAGTTACTATTTCTAAAATAAGAAAGTCAATATAGTGATAGCACTTTAGAACTAGAAGGAATCATCTCATCCAAGCTTACATTTTAAAGATGTCGTCATCCTTACTTTTTCTTCTAATTTGGTACTAACTTTCACTTTTGCTCTAACCGATCAATAATATTTCCACACACAGCTTACTATAAAATAACTTCTATGTCTGTAGCTAATTTTCATTTTTTGTAACATTCAGTCTTTTAACATCTAGCAGCATTTTTTAAGTCCCTTCTTTTTTCCCCCATAGTTAAAAAAACAAGTTAGATTAATGAAAGTATGGCAGTATTGAAGAGCAGAGCATTAAACATATTTATCATAGAGTAAATAATTGCCATTTATCCCCCAGCTTCAATACTGCATTGATGTTGGAATCTGTTTTTACTCTCTTCAGTCTCAACATGTAAGAGGGAGAAATCAAGAAGTGTGTGTGTGTGTGTGTGTGTGTGTGTGTTTTGAACAAGCTCTACAACTGGAGAGTGAATAAAGCCCAGAGTTGAATAATACGAGATTGAGAACAAGCCAGAGTTAATTTATGAATTCGTGCAGCATTTTCATTGATCCCAAGATGCTCCCTGCTACAAAACCCATCTTTTCAACCCTACTGTATAGTATATCCCTTGTGATACACTATGTGGTTACCAGTTGTGGAAGCCTCAGTGTCTGGAGAATCAAGATTGCAGGTGGCCTAAAGGAATTAGAAAAAATACGTGCTGAACATGAGGGGCATTTCCTCATTTCCCACCAGCTGCACCCCTTGTAAACTTCTTTGGCTTTTCTACCAAGATCCAGGCAACCTTGTTTTCTCTACCCATCAGTACCCTCTGCCTCTCTGATTGGAGGGTGGCACCATGGATGGGAACACACAAGACATATCTCACTCCCCACCCAGCTTCACTCATTGTGTACTTCTTTGATTTCTCTGGCAGCACTCATTGTGGACTTCTTGGTTCCATAATCTCCACCCTCATCCTCTTGCCTTCCCTTTCAGCTTTGTGTGTGTGTGTGTGTGTGTGTCATCTTCTCTCATTAGACTGTAAGCTCTTGGAGGGCACAGATTGTGTTTCTTTTTTATAATTATATCCCCAGTACTTAAGGCAGTGCTAGCACATAATGGGCACTTAATCAACACTGCTGAACTGAAGTAAGCTATATAGTACATTGTCAAAGATCGACTGCTTACTAGATGTGGTATTTTAAATATTTTAGACCAGGGTGGAAACCTGCCGCCTTGAGGCCACATGTAGTCCTTTAGGTCCTCAGGTGTGGCCTCTTGACTGAGTCCAAGTTTTACAGAACAGATCCTTTTATTAAGGGGTTTAGTACTGTGAGGTTTGGATTCATTCAAAGGGCCGCACTTGAGGATCTAGAGAGCCTCAAGGCTGCAGGTTCCCCACCCCTGTTCTAGCATTCTTTAGGACATGTATGATTTGATAAAGAGGTGAGGTGGTATTGGATAGGAGTAATGATTGTGGTGGTATCTGTGAAATACCTAAATGCTTTCAGTGTGATTCAGTGGAAGGAGCACTGACTAGAGTCAAAAAGACCTGGGTTCAAATTCTGTTCCTCATGTCAACTTTGGCAAGTTGCTTTACCACCCTGGCCTCCCTTCATTTCCTCATTTATAAAATAATGGGGTTGAGCTAGATGCCTGTGAGGTCTCATCCCACCCTTTGTAATCAGTGGAGGAGCCTTGTATTTAGAAATAAGCGGCAAAGAATCTATGAGCATATTAGGAAGAATAGCAATGAATAGTACTCTTTATTACATGAAACAGGAAGTCTTTGGTCACCATGATGAATGAAACAGGGGATAATGGTGCAAATTGGAGAATATTTGTAAAATCTGACCGTAAACAAGTTCCAAGTCATACAGTAGGGTTAATGTGGTCCACTTATTGTTTTTATTTTATAGGCAGTGGTATAAAGATGACTTGTGTGGCTTGGCATTTAAAGTTCTCCATGACAAACAGCGTGGGCCTCTAGTTTTCGTGCGCATTTATTCTGGTACAATGAAACCCCAATCAGCTGTCCATAACATTAATGGAAACTGCACGTGAGTGAAATCTCTGATTGCTTTCTAAAACCACGTTAATTTCCTTAAGAATATAGTACTAACACAAATCATTTATTTGCAGAGAGAGAATAAGCCGGTTACTATTACCTTTTGCTGACCAGCATATAGAAATTCCTTCTCTGACAGCAGGCAATATTGCCCTAGCTGTAGGACTTAAACAGGCAAGTAAATGAGTGGTTTCTCTCAGAAAAAATTGACTTCCTACAGTGACAATGTAAATGTTTGATAAATTATCTTTAGCTTGAGTTTATATAAAATATTAAAAGGCTATATGGTGTTTTTCATTCTTAAAATTTAGTTTCTAAAATTAAAATATCATTGAGCTGCTTTTTAAATAAAATTTTGGGTGGGGTTGAAACTAAGGATTCGTAAGGAGAGATTCACACTTTTATCATTACTTCATCTTTATGCTAAGTTCTTTAAGATATTTCTAAGTAAAGTTAAATTTTACAGTTATCTTTTTAGCTTGATCAGTTAGAGTATTCTAGCCAAAAAACTATTTTGATAATGGACTATAAATGTGTATAATGTATATAAATGACCAATTTTCAAGTACTTCACTAAAATAGTACTTCCCTTCCCCCACCCCCGCTTAACGTTATTAATTGATTCCAGAAAAAAAGTTCATATTAGAAAGCACTTCCATAACTGCCTTAATTAGGGTCAAGTTCTGATGCTGTTGCACAAAAGCATCTGTAATGGTAACATTTTGTGGCACTAACACTACATGGTACTTAGTCTTGGATAGCCTGTGAAGTCCTCTGGAAGGACTGTATAAATAAATACAAATGACGGTCCCAGCTTTGAAATATAAAATTGGTGAAAAGCTACTCCATGTACAACATTAGCAATTCCTGTAGATTCTGGAGGCTGAAAGAAATAAATTCTCTGTGTAATAAAAACAGGCAAATATTACTAAAATTTTTGTTAAACAAAGTGCTAAACATGAATTCTGACTCCATTCTATTCCATTCCCTATTGTCTCTGTGTCTGTTAATTGTGCCACTATTCTTCAGGTACCATTGCTGGTAGTTGTGGAGCCTTTCTGCCATAGAGCCAAGCAGTTCTGCCTCCATATGTATCACCTTTCTTATCTATTTTTTATCCGTCCTCCTTTCCATTCTTAGCCCCCCTCCCACTGCCACCATTCTAGTTTGTGTCCTTATTACCTCTGTTCTAAATTTTTACAGTAGTTTTTCATCCTTTTAACTGGATTTCCTACATCCACCCCTCTCAACCACCTTTCTTTTATCCATCCTACATACAAGAGCCAGATTAATCTTTCTAGTGGACAGATCTCTTCATTTTGCCCAGAATCCTTGTCCCTAAAGCATGTCTTGCACATTCCCTATTCTTATAACTCTAACTAGATTACAGACTCTTGGAGTGCTTGGACCAGGTGCGAATAAATATTTGCTGAATGGTTAGATATTAAACTGTGGAATTCTATTAAAAAAACATTTATTAAGTGCTAAAATATTATGTGCCACCTTCTAGGACTGGCACAAAAGTAAGATGCTGTCACTTAAAATGTTCTCCCAAGGACTTAGTTGTTGTTGTTGTTTTGGTTTGGTTTTTTGGTGAGGCAGTGGTGGGGAAGTGACTTGCCCAAGGTCATACAGCTAGTGAGTGTCAAGTGTCTGAGGCCAAATTTGAACTCAGGTCTTCCTGAATCCAAGGCTGGTGCTCAATCCATTGCACCATCTAGCTGCCCCAACTTAATAGTTTTAGTAGAAAAGAACCCCTAATAATTCTTCAGAAGAGGGGAGTTTGTAGAGTAACAATTTTATATTGGGAAACTCAGATCAACTTTGAAAAGAAAATATCCCTATTTCAAAGATCATAAGGGCATTACCACCAGAGGCTGTATCTTTTCTACTGTAGTATCAACTTTTTGCAAATATAAACAAATAAAAGATTTAAATGACATGTCTACAAGCAGATTTTTCAAATATATACAAATAGTTTTTATAAATATAGACATGTGAACATAAGCTAAAAGAGTCCAGCAGCTTGGTCATCTGTCTGCTAGATTCTGGGTAGCAGAACTTTCTGTACTGACTTCACTAGTCACAGAATAGCTCGCTTATCTGGGAAGTGTGTTTCTTAATCACTGGCCCAGCTGATTACCTTCTACATAGTAGGTACCTAAGATATGTTTATTGGATTTAATTGAAGAATTCAGGACTTAAGTTTCCTTTATTTTGTTATGAAAATGTTCCTGAATCTGGTGTTTTATTTAGTTATTCTTTAACTTTCATAATTGTAAGGGAGATGGTTGACCATAGTCTCGCAGATGTGTACCCTTAGACAAATGTCATTAAACGTCATTGAGCTATTTCATTCAACAGAATAGACATATTAGGGTTATCTAAATTTTGATATTCCATTCTTATGATTTAAAAAAAGATCCTGAAGAGTAGAAATATTTCCTGGTAGAAAAAAATATATTACTAAGAAGAGACAATATGGTAATAGAATGGAAAGAGACTGGACTCTGAGGCTAAATTCTTGTCTCAGCTCTGCCATTAACTTGCTTCGTGATTTTAAATAAATTACTTAATTTATTTGGGCCTCCGTTTCCTAATTCATGAAATGAAGAGATTGAACTTGATGATCTCCAAGGCCTTTCCAGCCACAATACACTATTATGTTTGATTTGTTTGGACAGAAAATGGTATACCATAACAAATCTGATTTGTAGGTAATTTTTGTGCACATGTTTCCTGTGATAATATGTCTTTAAATATTCATCTAATTAGATCCCAACAAAAACATTTTGGGTAAAATCTCATTCCTTAACCATAACCCCTTGATGTTTACTTTGTGTACATGTTGTTTCTCCCTGACAGAATGTAAGTTCTTTTTTTTTGGGGGGGGGTACAGAGTAGAACCTTTATTCACATACAGGAAAGAAAATGCTGAGAATAAAAGAATCATAGTGTGAATTACAGAATGCTTAGAACAGAGTTCAGTAATTCATCACTATCACATAGTTGGGAGGTTAGTGTTCAAGTTCAGTAAGTCTTTCCTTCTTCAAGATAAATATAATAATAATATTAATAGCATCTAGGGTCAACACTTCATATACATTATCTCATTTGATCCTCACAGTAACTCTGTGAGGAATGTGCTGTTATTATCTTCATTTTGCGGTGGCGAAAACTGAAGCAAACAGCGGGAAGGGACTTGCCCAAGGAGTGGCTTAGCCCAGATTTGATTTCAGCTCTTCCTGACTCCAGGACCATCACTCTACCCTCTGTGCCACCTAACCGCCTAAAACGTTGCCCTTTTCTTTAATTGATCCATGTATGGCTTGGTCCCTACAGTGTTACCTCTGATCATATGAGCCAGCTCTGGGTCAGTGAGAGGCATGGAAAGAATCTTGGATTTTGAAAGAGAAGACTTGGGCTTGAATTCAGACTCTGCTCTTACCTGTGTAACCTTAGAAAAGTCACTTCCATCTCTGGGCCCTCTTCTCTTCCTCTGGAAGTGCCTCCCAGCTGTGGTTCTAGGGAGCTCCTTGTCCTCATTCTGCTGCTGGACAGCTCTAACTGGGAGAAAGGTCTTTCTATGGACTGAGCCAGCATTTACTTCCTGTCACTTCCACCCATTGGTACTAATTCTAATCCGTGGGGTCAAGCTGAATGATTCTGTTGGCAAATATTTATTAGATTCTTATTATGTGTCAGACACAGTGCAGAGCCCTGGGGATACAAAGGTGAATACGAGCTCATCCCTCCCGCATGGAGTTTCCATGTTGTTATGGGAGACAATGTATATGCACATGCATGTGTGGGAGACAATGTATGTGCACCTGCATGTGTGGGAGACAATGTATACACACATGTATATAGCAGACAATGTATACACACATACATGTATGGGAGGCAATGCATATGCACATGAATGTATGGGAGACAATCTATATGCCCATACATTTATGGGAGACAATGTATACACACATATGGGAGATGATGTATACACACATACATGTATGGGAGACAGTGTACACACACACACATATATATAAATATACACAAACACCAAATATAGGAGGCAATGACTGGGTCTGTGATTTCATTGGTATAGGGAACTCCCAGGTAAGGAAGATCCCTCCATCAGTGCAGGTCAGCTTCTCTCCTGCAGTTCTGGTCTTAAAGGGCTGCCTACCTCCCTAAAAATGTGAGTGATTTGCTCAAGGTCACATGATCACTATGTCACAGGCTGGACTTGAAGCCATCTGGGCTTCAAGGCTAGCTCTCTACCTGCTATTGCTTTCCATACAAAACATGTCCAAAATAAATGTGAGGTGATTTTTTGGGGGGGAAAAGCCAGGTATTTATAATGTTTCTAATCCTAATGACTTCCAAAACCTCTTTTAAACTCGACCCTTAACACTAATGCCTTTTGATGCATTATTTTTAATTTAATTTCTGGTTTGTTTTTTTTAATGTCCTTTAAGATGTGTGGCCTCCCACCTCTGTGGGAAGGCCAGTATTTTTATCATGCAAAGAGAGGATGAAAAATGAATCTAAGGTCCCGTAGTGAGATGGTAGCCAAGGAGTCTAATGGTTCCAAGTCTTGTTCCAATGCCTTTTAAGGTCCATGGTTCACTTGCCTCACAAGAACCCTGAGAGCCATGGTGTGCTTGTAAATGTTGAACAAATGGCTCTCCTAAAGAGCATATACACGCAGCACACTTTTCAGATTAATCTACATTTTTCAGATTTTCTCCCTCATTTTCTTAAGTCTAGACAATCAACAAAAGATGTTATTTTGGGTCCTGTAAAGCCCAATCCGGCCACACAGGGTGATTTAGGGTACCTGCCCTCAGGGGTTGTCCTTTTTTTATAAAATATATATAAATTTATTTATTTTTAGTTTTCAACATTTACTTCCACAAGATTTTGAATTCCATATTTTCACCCCATCTTGCCCCTCCCTCCATCCCAAGATGGCATGCATTCTGAATACCCCTTCCCCTAGTCTGCTGTCCCTTCTATCTCTCCCCTCCTCTTATCCCCTTCCCCTTCTATTTTCCTGTAGGGCAGAATAGATTTCTGTACCTCATTTCCTGTATTTCTTATTTCCCAGTTGCATGTGGAAACATTTTTTTTAAACATGTGTTTTTCAAACTTTGGTTCCAAATTTTCTCCCTTCCTCCCACCCCACCCACCCTCATTGAAAAGGCAAGCAAGTCAATACAGGCCATACATGTGCGGTTATGCAAAACACTTCCATAGTAGACATGTTGTGAAAAACTAACTCTATTTCCCTTAATCCTATCCTGCCCCCCCATTTATTCTATTCTTTCTTTTGACTCTGTCCCTCCTCAGAAGTACTTCCTTCTGATTACCCCTTTCCCAGTCTGCCCTTCTCTCTGTCATCCCCCTGCTTTCTTGTTCCCTTCCTCCCCTATTCTCCTGTAGGGTAAGACAGATTTTCATACCCAATTGAGTGTGTATGTTATTCCCTCCTTAAGCCAAATCCTATGAGAATAAGATTCCCTCATTTCCTCACCTTCCCCTGTTTCCCCTCCACTGTAAGAACCTTTTCTTGTCTGTTTTGTGCAAGATAATGTACCCCATTCTACCTCTCCCTTTCTCCTAGTATAATCCTCTCTCACCCCTTAACTTTATTCTCCAGATATCACCCTTTCATCTTCAACTCACCCTGTGCCCTCTATCTCTATCTGTCTGTCTGTCTGTCTATCTATCTATCTGTCCATACATGCATACATACATATAATTTTCTCCCTCCCACTACCCTAATACTGACAAAGAACTCATGAGTTATAAATATCATCTTTCCATGCAGGAATGTAAACAGTTCAGCCTTAATAAGTCTCTTATGATTTCTCTTTCCTGTTTACCTCTTCATGTTCCACTTGAGTCTTGTATTTGAAAGTCAAATTTTCTATTCAGCTCTGGTCTTTTCATCAAGAATGCTTGAAAGTCCTCTATTTCACTGAATGACCATTTTTCCCCTGAAGATTATACTCAGTTTTGCTGGGTAGGTGATTCTTGGTTGTAATCCTATCTCCTTTGCCCTCTGAATATTATATTCCATGCCCTCTGTCCCTTAATGTAGAAGCTGCTAAATCTTGTGTTATCCTGATTGTGTTTCCACCATACTTGAATTGTTTCTTTCTGGCTGCTTGCAATATTTTCTTCTTGACCTGGGAACTCTGGAATTTGGCTACAGTATTCCCAGGAGTTTTCCTTTGGGGATCTCTTTCAGGGGGGAGATCAGTGGATTCTTTCAATTTCTATTTTGCCCTCTGGTTCTAAAATATCAGGGCAGTTTTCCTTGATAATTTCTTGAAAGATGATGTCTAGGCTCTTTTTTTGATCATGGCTTTCAGATAGTCCAATAATTTTTAAATTCTCTCTCCTGGTTCTATTTTCCAGGTCAGTTGTTTTTCCAATGAGATATTTCACATTGTTTTCTAATTTTTCATTCTTTTGGAATTGTTCTACTGTGTGTCGTGATTTCTCATAAAGTCACTGTCTTCCAATTGCTCTATTCTAATTTTAAGGAAGTATTTTCTTCAGTAAGCTTTTGGACTTCCTTTTCCATTTGGCCAATTTTGCTTTTTAGGGCATTCTTCTCCTCATTGGCTTTTTGGACCTCTTTTGCCATTTGGGTTAGGCTATTTTTTAAGGTGTTATTTTCTTCAGTATTTTTTGGGTCTCCTTTAGCAAGCTGTTGACTTGTTTTTCATGATTTTCTTGCATCACTTTCATTTCTCTTAGTTTTTCCTACTTCTCTTACTTGCTTCTCAAAATCCCTTTTGAGCTCTTCCAAGGCCTGGGGTGGATTCATATTTTTCTTGGAGGCTTTGGATGTGGGAGCTTTGACTTTGTTGTCTTCTTCTGGTTGTATGTTTTGATCTTCTTTGTCACCAAAGTAAGATAATATAGTCTGACTCTTTTTGCGAGGTTTGCTCATGATCCCAGCCAACTACTTGAGTTTTAAACTCTTTGTTAAGGTAAAAGTCTGCTTCCAGTGTGGTGAATGTACAGTCCCAAGCTTCAGGGGTTTGTATATCTGTTTTCAGAGATACTTGTAGGGACCTGTAAATTTTCAGTTCTTCCAAGGTGGTATGATAAGGGTCGAGGGGTTTACTCTTTTCCTGCCCTGAGCTCTGGTCTTTGAGTGACTAACCACAAGCAGTCTTTTCTCTCTTGGAACTGTGAGGAGGGTTTCCTCTCCTCCGCCACTACAAGCTCCACCTTGCCAGTGCTCCTCCTCACCCCAGGACCGCCACCCAGAACTGTGACGCAGATCCAAGCACGGGCAAAGCAAGAGATTCCTGCCTCAGCACTGGCAAAGAGATCCCTGCAGTCCCCCTCTGATCAGCCATTGGATTCCCCCTCAGTCTGTGGGCCGGAAGCTCAGGACGCAGCCACCGCCCAGGCACCCGCGTTCTGTGCTCTGGAACTGGCTCTGACCTAGCTCTTCTCACACTGTAAAAACAGACTTTTCCCACTGACCTTCTAAGTTGTCTTTGGCGTTCGTGAATTGAAGAGTCTGGAAGCTGCCACAGCTGCCCGTGATTCAGTCCTCTGAGGCCTGCTCTAGGTTCGCTGTGGCCTGCGCATCCATGCTGAACTGCGCTACTTTCCCCACCTGGCGTGATATGTCTTTCTGATCAACCATTCAGGCTGTTTTGGGCTAGGAATTTGTTTTACTCTGTCTTTTTGTGGGTTCTGCTGCTTTAGAATTTGTTTAGAGCCATTTTTTATGGGTATTTGGAGGGGTTTGGGGGAGAGCTCAAGCAAGTCACTGATTTCTCGCCGCCATCTTGGCTCCGCCCTAGAATGTAAGTTCTTTAAGGACAGGGACTTTGTTATTTTTTGTCTTCCTGTCTCCAGTACCTTACACAGGTGTTTAATAAACACTTTTTGAACAGAATTGGACCAGCTTCACTACACAAAGATATATATTAAAAACTTATAGATCTTTTGTTTCTGATGTTGCAGGATGTGCCAGGTCATTTATTCATTTTCCATATTTCATTTTCCTGTAAGCCAAGTCTTTGCTGGTCTTACTAGTCAGGAAAAGATTTCAAGCAAGAGAGACAAAGTTTACCCTTAGTTGATACAACTTTGGGCTTTGCTGATGATGTACAAACCAATATTAGCAGATGGTACGTGATCTTATAAGAAAACCACTTCCACTTTGTTATCATCCATTGGTAACTGCTCCCTCAGAGTTAGATCTGTGTGCAGGTTGCCTGACCACAAGATAGCCCACAAATATTAGGGGTTGTGCAGTTTTATATTGAATTAGACTAAAGAAGCTGGAGCCCTTTGCAAATGTGCTGGCTGAGACTTTGAACAGTTTTGACTAGGTCAGATAAAGCTAAACACAGTGGTTAGTAGAATTCTTTTGAAATCAGACTCTACTCATTGATGAATGTTCACTCATCGTTCTGGCTGTATGTACCTGCATGTCGTTCCTCCCCCTCCTCTGGGTGAAGGGGCCTGATCTAATAGCCTACATCACTAAGTCATGATGCATGATATTTTGGTTATTTTGCAGACTTCCACTGGGGATACCATCGTTTCATCCAAGGCCTCAGCATTGGCTGCAGCCCGTCGAGCTGGAAGGAATGAAGGAAAGATACATAGAAAAAACATGGAGACAGAGAGCCTTTTATTGGCAGGGGTAGAGATTCCAGAACCTGTCTTCTTTTGTACCATAGAGCCCCCTTCAGTAGGCAAACAGCCAGGTATAGATGCAGTTGTTGCTGTGATTGGCTCTGATGATTAGTATGGAACACTAAGTATTTCACATGTAGGTTGAGATGTGGTATAGCTATAAATGTTTTCATGTAGAAAACAAATTTGATTCTGAAATTTCTTGGGATTGGCCATTTTTATTTAAACTTGGCCAGCTGCTTTACTCATTTGATTATTTTGCATTGTGTTTAGAATCATTTCTTCCATGATTGCACATTTCTTTATTTTTGCTTTAGTGTGGCATTCTCCATAGGGTGTTGGGCAGATGGGCCAAGACTTCTTTCTAAAGATAATGGTCTGGCCATTCACACAGCCCGGTCCATTTCTCTGGCCATTTAACAGTTGACAAAGATCCTGATTGGGCTGTAGTTGTCTTGTTGGTTCTTCAACAGAATATAGTGCAAAATATTTCTGCGGGGTAACAAGCACGCCATGATTTGTCATTAGAACAAGGCTTTCGTAAATACTGATGATGAAAATAATACATGTTAATGTAGCACTTTCAAGTTTGCAAGGAGCATTACATATCTTATTGGAACTTCCTTACAACCTTATTAGTTAGATACCGTAAGAAACTTTAATTTATTAATGTTATGACCTTTAATAATACTATTTAGCAGCATTTGCTTGATTCCAAATGCTGCTTTACAGGCTGGATACAGATCCCCATTATGCAACACATCTTCTTTATAAATGTAGAAGTTCTCTGAGGGCAAGGGCTGTGCTTATTCAACTTTATACCATCTGTAGCAGCTGGGACAGATCATAGATCGTTAGAACTGGAAAAAGTCTTAGAGATCAGCTTGTCCAGTCTCTTTTTAGTAGATAAGAAAACCGAGGCCCAGAAATATCAGTAATAATAATAGTATCTGTGTGTGTTGTCTTTCACAATAATTGCACTGAGTGGCTGTACATTTACTCTGATTATACTACCACTGCTCAAAATATTTTAGAAATTTTTTTAATAGAATTACTATGAGTCAAGCTTAGTAATTTAAATAATCTCACCCTGTTTTATTTTGTTTCCCCAGGACTGGATGATAAGTTATGTAGTATCTTGCAGATAAATAGGCACTTAAATTTTTTTAAATACTTGACTGAATACCAAAAGTATTCTTATTTGACATTTATTAGGTACTCAAAACATAACATATAATTCAGTTCAGTAACCATTAAAGAAGTTCCTATTAAATGCAGGGCACTGGGCTGGTTTTTAAGGAAGATACATAGAAGCCTTTAATTTTTGAGGAACCACTTGAAAGAGTAGCTGGTGAGGTTGTATTAGCTCACTGTTAGTCAGGTATACAACATTGTACTTGAACCACATTGTATGATGGACACAGTCATTTTCTTTTTAAATTGGAGGACATTTCTTTTCGATTCCTTTGAAATATAGTATGACTTCTTTGCTGTAGGGATATTTGGTACAAATGGTTTGTATCCTACAGCTACCATCTCTTTCTGTTTTAGCTTTTTTCACTTTTACTTTTTTTGATTGAACTTTTGATTCATCTTTCACATTTTTTTGCACATCTGTCTTGATTTGGTTTCTTTTGTAAGTATCTCACGAAATGTTAACATTTATCTATCTGTACATAGAACTAGATCGAGCATTGAACTGCCTTCAGCGAGAAGATCCCAGTTTAAAAGTGCGGTTAGATCCTGACTCTGGACAAGTGAGCATGTTTCTACTTTTAAAAATCTCATAAAATGATAATTTACAGTGATGTTTATTATGGAAAAAAAGGTATGTAAAACATATGTATGGCTCTGCCACATTGAAAGGTAAAAGGAGTTTTATTCCCTTGCTTTTTATGTTGTAATTTTCTGCTCAATATGTTTCTTAGTTAGGTATTGGAGAGTAAATATCCAGCAGCCTTCACTCCTTAGAATACAATATTGTACCCAGAAGTAGTTTTCTTTTTTTTAAATAAACTTATCTAGGGGTGGCTTACCTAGTACAGCCCTACTTTTGTGGGGCAGTTCAGAGGTGTGTGTGCTATTCTTTTGTCCTAACAAATGCTGGTGCAGCATCTTTCTATACAAAAGACCATATCTAGAATGGTTGGACCAATTCACAACTCCACCAAAAATGCATTAGTGTCCCAGTTCTTCCACAATCCTCAGCAACATTTATCATTTTCATTTCTGTCATATTAGCCAACTGGAAGTAGTTTTTAAAAAGACCTCTCAGTTATCTGTTCACAGATCACAAGGCTCTCAAGTTTCATTCTCTGGTTTATGTGTTCACAAGATTGGAACCAGAAAACTAGAAATAAGACACAAGTTCTGTTAGAGGGAAACACATTTATATCAGTGAAAAGTGTTCACCAGTCTGACAGTGAAAGAAGTGGCCAGTAAAACTCAAAAGCTGAGTCAGAACCCTGATATAAATTTACAGACTGTGGTATGAGTGGATGTTTGTGATGACCTGATCCAACAAGAATTTTCATCCAGAAAACGTTAAATTATATCTGGTGTCTTCTCTTTTAAGAAAGCAATGATATATGTAATATATTTTAGGAAGAATTTCTTCAAGAATAGTTAATATGTTGGCATTTGAAAGGAGTGAACTTCAGTTAAGTATTCTAGTCAGAACACCCCCAAATGGACCTCTGTGTGTGTGTGTGTATTAGGAAAATTATTTCTAATGAATAATGGGTATTCATTTCTGAAAGCAGTAGATTGTTCACAGTCACACGGCCAGGATGGTGAAGACCTTTCATTTCATGCCATATGTAACTTGTTTGAATAGGAGAATCCCTAGTTTGAATGAAGTAGAGATGTTTGGCCTGGAAGTGGAATTCATAATTTCTTCAAGAATTTGAAAAGCTGTCTGGCCAGATGTTGCAGAGGGGGAGTTTGCAGCTCAGTATTAATAAATGCTAAAAGCTACTCAGACATGCCTGGGAAGGCAGTGGGTTCTCCTTCCCTGTCAGGTCTTAGAGCAAAGGTTGTATGTATACTAGTCACGTGTTATAGAGAAGATTCTTAATCAGGTATAGGTTGGACTGGTGGCCTCTGAGGTTCCTTTCTAATCTTCAGTTCTATGATTTTGAGTATAAGTCACATATTTAATATTTGTTAATGTTAGGCATAAGCATGTGTGTGTGATGTATGTATGTGTGTATATGTGGTGTATATGTGATACAGATGCATGAGTATAAATAAATGATTTTTTCAAAGCACATCATAACTTATACTCTGTACCTCCCAGTGTTGATGTGAATACAGGATTTTGTACACCTTAAAGTGCTAAAGGAGTCTCAGCCATATAAGTCATAATAATAGTATTTCTCTCACTGTTGACTTTTGAAAGAATCATATTGTGAGGTTACACACTTATTTCAATGATGCTGCCGTTGCTTAAAACATTTTAGAAACTGCTTTTATGGAATTGTCTTTAGAATAGGTTTATAAGCTAGGTGAATCAGTCTTGCTAATTTATAATCTCAGATTGTTTTTGTTCTTGTTTTCTAAACAAAAAATGGTATGGCTCAGCTTGATCACCCACCTCATTCAGCCGATATGTCTCTAAATGACCTTTGGCTGTTGTTGACAAAAATCAGTCACCTGCCACAGTTGAAGAGTCACCATTATTTTGAATAGGATATTTAAAGGAATATGTTGCAAACTCTGAAGGTAATTCCAAAACAAGTTCCAAAAATGTTTTAATCAATGGCAGTACATTGGAATAACATCCAAAGGTTGCTTATTTGAAAGGAATAATATTTTCTTAGGTATATCGGTTCTGTTGTGGGGTATTTTTTTGTTGTTTATTTTTAAAAGAATAATCATACCTCATAAACATTTTCTTAATTATTTTCATTACCTGTTGGTATATATCTTCCTTTCCTTTTGATTTCATAATTTTCTTGAGTTTCATAATTGGGAGGCATTGTATTGTACTGAAAAGCACACTGACCTTTGAAGTTATATGGTATGTTTGTGACTTTGAGCTGATTGTATAATTTCTGTGAGCCTCAGTTTCCTTATCTGTAAAATGAGGGGGGAAAAATAATGCTGTTGGCAAAGATATTGGAGTAGTTTGCCATTTCCTTCTCCAGCTCACTTTACAGATGAGGAAGCTGAAGCAGAGTTAAGTGACTTGCCTAGGATCACACAGCTAGTAAAGTGTTTGAAGCTAGATTTGAACTCAGGAAGATGAGTCTTCCTGACTTCAGGCCTGTCACTCTATCCTCTGAGCCACCTCACTGTCCTACCTAGCAGAGTTGTAAGGAAAGCATTTTGTAAACTATAAAGCTCTGTATATGTGAGTAAGGGAAGAAGCTGTGATTATGTCAGCTTATGGGAACTCACCGCTCCACCAACATAGATCTCACTTGAGTAAATAAGTCCTAGGGAATCATCTGAGGCACACAAAGCTTGAGTGGCTTGCCCAGTGTGACATGGCTAATAGGTGTTTGTTGAAGAAGAAAGTTTAAACTAAGCTGATGTTCCTGTTAAAGGCCTTTTCAACTTTAATTGGAAAAAATTATATATACTCTGTTTTCATTGTCATTTTCCAAGTTCTTGAAATGTACTTTTGAATTCTATTTTATTTTCAAAAATCCTTGCTGCCATATTTGGCAAAAGGGAATGCAGCTAATGAACGGTGTTGTAAATATCCCTGCCCTGGTGTGCCTTTTCGAAACATTTCCCTCCATTGGACATTGCGATGAAAGAAGCTTAATCATTACATAAATAGTATAGCATGTGTTCTATGAAGTTATTATCCTCTTTTTAAATTTGGAGTTTTTTTTCTTCCTCTTTTCACCAGACTGTTCTCTGTGGTATGGGGGAGCTGCACATTGAGATCATTAATGATCGCATCAAGAGGGAATATGGAGTTGAGACCTTTCTTGGTCCTCTACAAATAGCATATAGAGAAACCATCCTAAACTCAGGCCGTGCCACAGGTATAAAAAAAATAAAATTCATGACGCATTGGTTTCTAGGAATGAGGTCCAGATTATTTAACTCAGTTTTATCAAGTAGGGATCAAGACCATACATTTCAGTCTTATGTTAGTAGTCATGTAGGCAAAAGAACCCCCAAAACCCAACTCTGTTTCCCCGCTGCAGACTACATCTAAGCCAGCCAGCTAGTAGAAGCTTGTAGGTGATCAAGTTACAGAAAGCAGGCAGCAACTTTTTTGGGGTGGCTTACCTAGTGCAGCCCTCCACTTGTGGGACGATTGAGAGGGATATGTGCTATTCTTTTGTCCTAACAAATGCTGGTACAGCATCTTTTTGTACAAAAGACGATATCCAGTTCAATTCAAGGAACGGTAAATGACTGCTTTTGTAAAATGATATCTTCCCTTAGGATATACAGCTGTTTCATAAATGTTTGCTCTGTTTGGTTATAGATACATTGGATAGAACTTTAGGAGAGAAAAGACATTCAGTGACTGTGGAACTGGAAGTGAGACCGTGTGCAAGAGAAAAATCTGAAGTAGTTCCTGTTATTGAGTATGCTGAAAATATCAGGGAGGAGCTTCTGCAAGAGTTTCAAGAAGCCATTGAAAATGGAATTCGTAGTGCATACCTGCAAGGTAGTGTGTGTAAATTAGAGTAGATACTAGCATCCCTCTTATTATTCTCCTCCCTCTCTTCCTCCCTCTTTCTCTCACCCCCCATTGGAAATAATTTCCACTGTAGTATTCATCTCAATGTTTTGTTGTTTTGAACTGGTTACTTCTCACTTCCCAGTGATGGAGAATAGCACATTTAAAAGGCTGAAGTCTTTGTTTTTCCATGTCTAGGACCATTGCTTGGATTCCCAGTTCAGGATGTTGCAGTTACTCTGTGTTCACTGACACTTCACCCTGGCACCTCTACAACAGTGGTTTCGGCCTGTGTCTCCCGTTGTGTGCAAAAGGTATAAAAATATTGTACTTGCTGTTTGAAGGTGATCTCGCTCAGTGTTATCATTCAGGCATTACCAGGCCTCTTTGGCCTTCAAAGTCAATAAGATTTTCTTTTCACATGAAGCACCTCAGATGTTTAACGTCATTGATGCTGCACTGGGATTTCATTGAACTTTTTTTGTTCTTTTTCGTTTCACTTTTATTTGCTCAATAGTATTACGTTTACTCTCGGGCCATAAGCTTTTGTTTCTTCAGTTTCTTTTGGGGTATCTTTTTCTTTTGACCAACTTCATTTTCTGGTTTAGGAACAATTTATTCCTTTTCAGTAAGTACCATCTCAACATTGCAAGAGGAACTCATGTATGGCTTGTTTTGATCGTGAGCTATGTGAGTACACCATTTACATTTTGGGAGCTTTGTTTACCTGGATATGCTCAATGACAAGAGAATGCACATCCAAACCCTTCAGTTCCGCGTTACCGCCTATGTTTTTAAGCATATGCAGCAAGAACTCAGCATTCTTTTTGGGCCAGCGACCGCGTGTCCAATCCCATTGCTTAGCCTGGGCACACTGCCAACTCCATCATGTGTCAACAGAAGGGAACACGTTTCTTCAATGTAACATCTTTCCAATACTTGGTAGCTTTTCAGATGTGCTTGCCCCTGATAGGACTATTTTATGGGTGTTCTTGAGGTGGACCTATAGTTTTGAACCCTTCGACTTGCATGATTTTGTGGAGTTCTCTGGATCAAGAGAGTACTTCATCATTTTAAATGATTCCCTGGGACAGCTCAGGGAAGAGGAAGAGCTAAAAGTATAGAATCTTGATGAATGCACTGAAGCAGATATAATATGATGTTTTATCTAAGTATAACCAAGTAGCCAGGTTTCAACATAGCAAACACAGGTACTAGGCATTCTTCCAGAGATTTAGGACAGACTGATATGATTGAGAAGACTCTGATCAGGGTTCAGCATTTCCTTAGACAATCCCTAATCTGAAAGATCTTAGAGAGATCAGATTGGTGCCAGGACATTTCCAGATGTTCTTCGTCTTGTCCTTGAGTCCCAGTCTCGAGGTAGATTTACCTTTTCAAGATTTCTTTCTTTTAAAGGAGGTAGACCTTCCTTTAAAAGCTGGACGATTTGTTTTAATAACTGTATGAATTGGAGGGTCACTTAAAAGGTCGCATGTACAATGAGAACTTTTTTACTTATATCTTCAGTTTCTGTTCTTCAAAAATTTTTTATTTAAGGAAATAACTTACGTTAGTCTAGCTTTCTAGTCAGAGGATTGTGTTCTGTAATTGAACAGTGCTTCTGATTCTTGAGTAAGTGAATGTCCACTTATAGTCAGCAAAATTAAGAAAAAATTACCTTCAGAGGCAAAGAAACATAGAATTTCAAAGCTGGAAATATCCTTAGAGAGATCATTTAGTCTAACACCTTCATTTTACAGAAGGGAAATTTGAGGTCTACAAAGGGAAATAACTTGTCCAACCTTTCGCAGAGAATTGTACAGCCAGATCTACAACCCGGTATCACAGACCAGGTGGTAGTGCTGATGGTCGTTTTAAACTGTGTCATGGCTACCTCTGGTGGCCTAGCCTAGTAGAATGATTACAGAATGTTTTGTTGCTACCACATTTGGTGAATGGTAATTGCTACCTGCTACCTAATTCCTTGTGTATAAGCTACAGTAAGTTAAAATCCATGTGATGGTTTTAGTTTTAATTGTATTGCACTCAGTACTTCGCACAGTTGGGTGGTTGGGTGTAGTTAGAAGAGGTGTCATCAGCTAATCCCCCATGTAAGATCATCTACCAGAAATTTTTACCTCCCTTCTGTTTACTTTCCCCTCTTCCCCTAGATTCCTTCTGCTATAAATAAACACTGACTTAGCAAGAGAACTATTTGTTTTTGTTGTTGTATTGTATTGTTTTGTTTTTGAGACTGGGTTTCCCTATCTCACTCAGACTGGAAGTGCATCAGCCACTCACTGGCCCAGTCCCAATGCTGATTAGCATAGAGACTTCACCCTGCTCAGTTTTTCTCACCTGAGATGGCTCACCTCTCTGCTCCTCAGGGCCACCATATTGGTGTCATTACTGTGGATACCATAGACTTTCATCCTTCTGCATCTCAGATCTTCCAAAGTCATGGGATCCACCAGCCTCAGGCTCCTCATCAGCAAGGACTGTAGGTGTGCACCACCAAGCCCATTGGACTTTTGTTTTATTTTCTTTTGTTTTTTGGACCCCTTTTGCTTGTCAGAGAAAGAATTAGATGATTTGGTATTGATAAGGAACCTGTAGGAAGGCTGTATTTAAGACCATTTCTATTTGCAAACCAAACCTGTGCTGAAGCCTGGGTCTGTTGGCTTTGACTGTAAATCTCTGGATAAAGTTGTGCTCTTTATTCTGCTAGTAGCTTCCCTCTACAATTAGCTTGCCAGCTCATTTGATTTGAAGATAAAGTGTTGTCTTCAATGCTTGTTTGGGACCCAAAGGAAAATGGAATTCTTGCCAATGAACTTTACCCAGTTATCTTCTCTTCAGATGATCCCAGATCTTCTGCCACCTTCCATACTTCTTTTTTCATGTTCTTCTCTTAGCCTCTTCAGAGCAGTGGCATTGTTTCAGGAAGTGCAACAGCTTGGTAACCATGGCAGGGTTTATTTGCAAATAAGAATAATTTTTCATTACCTTGAGCCTTTATTCTATTTTAGCCCTTCATTTTCTTCCATGCCTAAAAGCTGATGCCAGGCCTCTGATTATGCATACAGCTATAATGGACCCAGTTATCAGAGTCTTCCTAGAACACAAGGTCTTAAACTGACCATGTTATAGGGTAAGGATAAAGCTGGAACATTTCTGATTTCTCTGTGCCTTAGTTTTTCCATTTATAAAGTAGGAATGCTATACCCTTTTCCATTATGATATTGTGGGGATGAAGTACAATACTGTATGAAAATGCATTTTATTTTTGGAAGAAAGGTACACTCAACTTTTATTGAGCATGGTAAGTGAAGTGTTTCTTATTATTCATGGGCAAGAATCACAGGCTGTATGGCCTGTTAAGATATGCATGTTTGTATACAGATTTTTTGCTATCATTTGGATGCATTATTGAGGAATCACTATTTAATTATGTATAAATGTTAAGCTTTAAGAAATTTTATTTCATTGGAAGGCTTTAATATCTTTATTCTTAGGCTCTAAAGAAAGCTGACCAGCAAGTTCTGGAACCCCTAATGAATCTGGAAGTTACAGTGACTGGAGACTATCTCAGTTCTATCCTAGCTGATCTCGCGCAGAGAAGAGGCAGCATTCAGGAAATCCAGAGTCGTCAGGATAACAAAGTTGTTGTTGGATCGGTTCCCTTAGCAGAGATGATGGTATAGAGTGGACTGTTTTGTTATTGGAAATTTCATGTTCTTTGGCTATCATTTAGTAAGTGCATATGAACAGAATCAGAAAAATTATACTCAGAGGAAAAATCAGGGTCTTTATTAAGAGTTTTTATTAAAAAGAAACTTTTTTATAAAAAAAGAAATTATTAAGAGTTTCAACGACCAGGAAGTAGTGGTGTAACTTGGTTTTTCTTGATGGAGAAATTCATAGATTTGGCAACTGGAAAGCAACTGTCAATCCCTGTCTGAATATAGGCAAAGCAAAATACCACAAAAATATCTTAACAGTGAAAGGTGCCAATTCAATGAACTCCAGACTGTTTGTGGGCTCACAGATTTAAAGTATGAAATAATAACCTTTGAGGTCATGAACAAACAATTTTTTAAAATTAATTTATTTTAAATTATCAACAATCACTTCCATAAACTTTTTTTTTTAGGCAACTGGAGTTAAGTGACTTGCCCAGTGTCACACAGCTAGTAAGTGTTCGGTGTTTGGTCTGAGGCAGGATTTGAACTCAGGTCCTCCTGACTTCAGGGCTGGTGTTCTATTCACTGAGCCACCTACCTGCCCCCCATAAGCTTTGAGTTATAAATTTTTCTCCCACTCCTTCCCCACCTACCTTCCCAAGATAGCGTGCAATCTGATATAGGCTATGTATATGTATATATTCCTATTAAACATATTTTCACATTAGTGATGTTGTAAGTGAGAATTAGAACCAATAGGAGGAACCATCAGAAAGATGAAACAAAACACAACAGAAGGAAAAAAAATAGGAAATAGTATCCTTCAATCTGTATTCAAACTCCATAGTTCTTTCTTCTTTATGGATAGCATTTTCCATCATGAGACCTTTGGACATGTCTTAGATCCTTGCATTGCTAAGAAGAGATGAGTCTATTAAAGTTAGTCATCACAACGTGGCTGTTACTGTGTACAAAGTTCTCCTGGTTCTGCTCATTTCACTCAGCATCAGTCTTTCAGGTTTTTCTGAAGTCTGCTTGTTCATCATTTCTTACAGCACAATAGTATTCCATTATGTTCGTATACCACAACTTGCTCAGCCTTTCCCCAATTGTTGGGCATCCTCTCAATTTCCAGTTCTTTGCCACCACAAGAAGAGCTGCTATAAATATTTTGTACATGTGGGTTCTTTTCCCATGTATATGATCTCTTTGGGATATAGCTCTAGAAGTGCTGTTGCTAGGTCAAAACAAACAATTTTTAGTGTCCACCATTGTGCCCCAGGCACTGGTGACAGAGACAAAAGTGAAAATGGTTCCTGCCTCAAGGAGCTTACAGTCTAGCCAGGAGATACAACAGGTACATATGTGAGTATATACAAAATAGGTGTAAAGTGACTTGGGGGAAAACTCTAGCAGTTGGGAGGGGATGAGCATCAGGAAAGGCCTCAAATGGAAGGTGGTTCATTCTTAAGGACAGCCAGTACAAAGACACAGAGATAAGACATAGGGTGCTGTGTATTGGGAGCAAGAAGATGGACAGTTTGGATTGCAACTTGCATAGAGGGAAATAATAACACGGCTGGAATGGTAGATTGGGGCTCAGGCTGGGACTTTGACTCTTGTTCTATTTGAAGCAAACTGTTAACTGAACTGTTAAATGTATTATGTTGTACACTCTTCTCTACAGGTGAGTGGGTTTATTAGAGTCCAGCTTTCATGATTAAAAAAACAAAATCGACATTTGGTAAATACTATAAAAAATATAACTAACCTGGCAAGGCCATCAGAGGCCCTGGGCAGGCACAAAACAGATAACCATCAGGAAAGTGGGGAAACCTGAACGGACAAGTACTGACTGCCTAAAATTTTGTATTAAAAGATAGCATGGTCTAGACCAGTAGTGACAAACTCAGAGAAATGAATCTCAGCTGTGACATATTGATTGACTAAGAAAACCACAAGCTAACATTATCTGTGTTACATTATATTTTTCCTTATTTTGTTAAACAATTTCCCAAGTACATTTTAATCTGCTTTGAGCTGCACTAGGCAGTTTTATAGGAGTGGCTGTGAGTTTGATGTCTCTGGTCTGGATAGAAATGTGCTTGAGTTTTAGAGCCAGCTCTTGTCATTAACTTCATTAACATCTGTTTATTACTTGGTTTTCTCATCTGGAAAATGAGGGATTAGACTACTAAATAATCTCTGTAGTCCTTTACAGCTATATAGCATTCTACAGTTTTGACAAACACACTTCTAAAGAAAGCAGAGATGGTGTGGAAACCATAGCTAAATAAAATCCACAGATTTTTAAAGAACAGCCCATAGTTTCATTCAGAATTAAAATTAGCTAACCAGTTTCAGTCTGAACATCATTATTTTTCTTTGCTTATTATCGATGAAATGGTTAGAAAGGGTGGAGAAAAGAAATTGGGGGCATAACTATTTTATCCTGAATAACTGACTGTCATTTTCTGTGAAATCTCTCTTTTCAGGGTTATTCAACTGTGCTCCGAACTTTGTCATCTGGGACGGCAACTTTTGCTCTAGAGCTGTCTAATTATCAAGCTATGAACCTTCAGGACCAAAATGCCTTGCTAAGTAGAAGGAGTGGACTGGCCTGATCACTGACTAAGAGTCACATTCTCTTAGTGAAGTCTCTTCATTGTATGAAGATCCACATTAATGACTTTTCCTGAGAAGGGAGTTACTCATCTTCGTTTGTGACATGAAACGTGAGCTGTCATGTTATACTTAGTACATTGGCTCTGTCGGATGCACTTGTTGGCTACTGGGGCCTTGCAGTTACTGATGATCATTTTAATTGTTTTAAGTAGTCAGAGCTAAGAGTTCTGTTCCTCAGAAGGTAAGTGGGCAAAGCCTACGTACAGTTTTCAAAGGAAGAATTACCAACTGTTAATGACTCCAAATCACTAATAACAAAATGGCAAACTAAAATAAGTCTGAAGTTTCACCTCACGCCCTAAAAATTGGCACATATCCTAATCCATTTTGGAGGGACTTTGAGACACCAGATAGACATATTAATACACTGTTGATAAAGCTGTGAACTACTCCAGTCATTTTGGAAAACAATGGAAATTTGTACAAGAAAAGTGACTAAACTGTTCGTTACCTTTGACTTATTTATCCCCCTACTGGTATAGCAAGAAGGCCATATGTAGAAATAGAGTTTCAGTTTATACCAAAATGCTCCAGGAAGCAGATTTGTTGTAGGGAAGAACTGGAAACAAAGTAGGTGCCCATCAGTGGTGAAATGACTGAACTGTGGAATGGGAATGGGATGGAAATGTGCAGCCAGAAATGACTAATCTCAAGAATGTGGAGTCACGTGGGAAGTTCTAAATGAACTGATACAGGGGTGAAATAAGCAGCCCCTACAACGTTTCTTTATTTTTTTTAAATTTTATTAATTTATTTTGATTTATCAACAATCACTTCCATATGCTTTTGAGTTTAAAATTTTTCTCCCCCTTCCTCCCCACCACCCTCCCCAGAATGGCGCACAGTCTCATATAGGATATACATTTACGTTCCAATTAAACATATTTTCACATTAGTGGTGTAAGTAAAAATTAAAACCAATAGGAGCAACCATCAGAAAGAGGAAACAAAACTTAACAGAAGAGAAAAAAAAATGATAGCGATTCAACTTCCATAGTTCTTTCTTTGGATGTGGATAGCATTTTCCATCACGAGGCCTCTGGAGATGTCTTAGATCCTTGTATTGCTGAGAAGGGTTAAGTTTATCAATATTAGTTACTGCACAACGTGGCTGTTATTGTGTACAACGTTCTCTTGGTTCTGCTCACTTCACTCAGCATCAGACCATATAAGTCTTTCCAGGTTTTTCTGAAGTCTGCCTGTTCATCATTTCTTATAGCACAATAGTATTCCATTACATTCATATTCCGCAGCTTGCTCAGCCATTCCCCAGCTGATGGGCATCCTCTCAATTTCCAATTCTTTGCCACTGCAAAAAGAGCTGCTATGAATATTTTTGTACATGTGGGTCCTTTTCCCATTCGTATGATCTCTTAGGGATATAGCCCTAAAGGTGCTATTGCTGGGTTACAACACATCTTTAAATGAAAAGGTCACTAAGGCCAAACGGTCATCAGAAAACAGCTGAGGCAAGAGTCCCAAAGGACAGATTGTGGTATTTAATTGTATTTACCATAGCAGTTGTTCTTGCTTAGCTGATTTTATTATAAGGGACGGTTCAGTTCCAGGAATCCAGATATGAAAGTGTGAGGGGTTAATGTATAAGATCTTCCCTACCCACAGCCCAAGCCAAGGGACAAGGAACTTCCCTAATGTATTGGTCTGGGATTTGTTTCAACCCAGACCCACCTTGGGGAACTATTCGTTAAGTCTTGAGGTAAACATCCAGGGACTTGGCCAGAGTATTGACCTGAGGCATTTTTGACATCATAAAGATCATTCTTGAGGTCAGAGAGTTTCAGCCAAAACTCTCAAGTCCTTAGGATTAATCACCTATTCCTTGGCTCTCTGCCTTTTTTGTGTAAGGATGATAAAAAGGGTCTTTCTTGGGAAAGTGACTTTGAGATTCTCCCTCGGAGAGGACGCTCTGCTGTAGGGACTTTGCAACTGACACCCCAACGGCTGTGATACAGAACTCCCCCAGCCACATGTTCAGGAGTGGGTGCTTCCTCGGGTTGGTGATGTACTTCTTCTTTATCTCTCTATCTTTCTGTTAATAGTCTTTGCTTCTAAGATTGTATAATCATATGTAATGACATTTACGTGCATGTATGTTTATGATTATTATCATTATTAAATCATTTGTAAGTTAGGAAGAGTGTGAATGTGTCTTTGTGGGTACAGATCCAAACCCGTGAAATAAATTGTAAGTGCTGCGCAGCCTGTAACATCTTACTGTTACAAAGTGATATAGAAATTCTACAATAAAATTTATTTTTTTTAAAGTAGACAGTTCTTTCATACTTAGAAAAAAAACCAATTCCCTTATATTAGATGTCCACTCTTAGGAGAATGGCTAAATGAATTGTAGTATGTGAATGTGATGGAATATTATTTTGTTATAAGAAATAATGAATATGGAGACTTGAGATTTATTTGAATGATACAAAGTGAAGTAAAGGAGAAAAACAGTGTTTGCAATGACTACAAGAAGGCAAATAGAGAGAAAAAATAAAAATGAATGCTGTTAAATACAACAAATGGCCTGCATTGTCCCTGAAGCAGAGATGAGAAAAATGTACCTCCTCTCCCTTTTTTGAAGAAGTAAGGTACTGTGGATATAGAGTAACACCTGCCCCTCCACCTGCAGCCTCTTAGTTACAAGGAATGGCTCTCTGGGTAGGGGTTATATTTGGAAATGAAGATGATATAAAACAAAAGATCCCCAAAACAGTTTTATTCCTAAAAAAATTAATATTTCTGACAAGGAGCATTGTCTGCTATGTAGACATGTTATAATGTTCTAGGTGTGTCCTTCAAAAATATATTTAATTGGGAGGAGCCGTCATGGGCAGCTGTCTCATAGCAATGGTAGCTACAGCTAGAGATGATGGTGGTGGCAGCAGGTGGGCTTTTAACCAGAAGCCCGCCCACCCCCCCACCCCCCGGCTGCTGACACCATGAGCCAGGACACCTCCCCCCCACCCCCACCCCGAGTGGAGAGCAGTAAGCCCCAGGCCAAGGTCCTGCATACCAACCTGCTTTACCTGGCGGTAGTAGAGGCTGGCCATTGACTTGACCTCATCCTTCGCAACAAAACTGCCTACCAAGAAGTGTTCAAACCACAGAATGTTAGCCTAAGGAATAAACTTCATGAACTCTTTAGCTTATGTTCCTGCATTCAGTGGATTATGGGAGGAAAGCAGAGGAGCTACTTTGGAGGAAGATGTACTATGAGGTTGTCTAGCTTTTCAAGACCAATAAAAAGTATACCTCTGGTTGCTGGCATTGGCTTCTACCAGCATCTCCTCTGTGTCCAGTCCCACCACCAGCTTGAACTGTAATGCTGCATTGATTGGACTCATGTCACTGACCCTCCAGTAGGTTGTAAGAAGCCAGTATCTGCCTCAGGGAAAGAGGTGGACTGGGCTCAGATGACTTACCCCCGATGTGTGATGTGTCTGGGAGATTTGTCCTGATATCAGAACGAATTAGCTGGTATAGACAGAGCACCTGGCTGACAGATCCTATTTCCAAGCCTTGTCAGTGGCTTCTCAGATAGGTATGCCCTTCAATCAGCTAGGTACCCTGGCAGGGAGCAAGTATTACAATGCAGAAGCTGTGTACCGAGCACCTGAGGTGCAGCCAGTCCAGAGTGTCCTTTGAGAGGGCTTATGGGAATCTCAAACGGCTGTATAACAAGGCAGCCAAAATGTACCACCAGCTGAAGAAATGTGTGACGCGAACACTGTTGCCCAGCAAGAAGTGTAAGGATATCAAGAAGCTGCTGGTGAACTTCACGTACCTGCAGAGTCTTCTGCAGACCAAGAGTAGCACCCTGGACTCAGAGCTGACATCACTCTGCCAGACTTCATCCTTTGTCTCTTCTACCTGCCCTCTTCACCCAACCTCAGTCTGGCTAGTGAGGATGAAGAGGAGTATGAGAATAGCTATTCTTTTCTTCCCTGACCTTCTCATCTTCTTATGGTCATCATTTGGCTCATGAGTGTTCACGGTTTGAAGAGAGCAGGATCAAATCAGTACAGTACTGCCATTGCCTTCACCCAGGCTTTCTTTCCCCATCTTATCAACCACATCAATATTCAGGTGCAGGCAGAGATGGAAGAGGGAGAGAGCCCTGTGCCAGCGTTCCAGAGTGATGGGACAGATGAGCCAGAGCTCAAAGAACCACTGGAGAAGGAGGGGGAACCTGAGCCAGAGCCTCTTCCCCCAGCACCAAGAGCGAGTGAGGCCAAGAAGACTCATGAGTTCTCCTGCCCATCTTGCCTTCATCGGCAGTACCACTGCCTACTCAAGGCTGGTGATGACAGTGACCTAGAGAAGAGTGATAAGAGTGGAATAACAGCTTTTGATGTGGAGTCAGACTCAGAAATGAACAGCCAGGAGTCATGTTCAGACCTGGAGGGTGTGGAAGATAAGGAGGGAACATGGCCTGTGACCCCAGACTCCCCTCAGCCCAGGCCAGAAGCTTCTGACCCCTCCAATGGCCCATCGGGTCCAAATGAGGCCAGTATTGCCAGTAACCTGTAAGCCATGTCCACAAAGATGTTCCAAATAGAACGCTGCTTCCTATTGGCCCTCACCTTCAGTAACATACTTCTCCATCTTTCTAACGAAATTAGGACCACTGCTGGTAACAGGAACTGCATCAGTAGGGACCTGGACAAACCTGAACCAATGGATCTGAGTTACAGAGAGTGTGTACAGTGGATGCTTCTGTCACAATGGAGCAATATCCAGGAGAAACTTCACATCTTGATGGCAGAGAGAAGACTTTTCCCTGCTGCGAAAGTCTTCTTGGATTGGCTTCAGACCAACACCAACTTTATCATCATGTGTGTACAGAGCTCCCAAAGTCTATGGAATGGCCTCTCTGTATTACTGAATCTTCTGCCAACTGGTAGAGAACTCCAGGAGCCCAGCCTGGTCTTGTGCCCTTCTGGGCTGTGAGTGACCTGACCTTCGCACTTCCCTGATACTCCCAGTAGACACAGCTCTCTGCAGTCTACCCCACTCTTAGCTGCCCACAAATGTTTCAGTTTTGAATTAGATCAACCCTTGCTCAGTCCCATGGAGGAGTCTGTCATGTGAATCTGATGCATCCGTAGCTTCGGCCACTTTGCCCATCTGCAGGGCAGCATCCTGCAGTTTACCTCTGAGGTTGGCATCTTTATCAGCATTGCTCAGGCTGAACAAGAGAATCTGTTGCAGCAAGCCTAGGCCCACTTCAGGATGGCGCAGAAAGAGGCTCGTCAGAATTGACTGATCAGAGATGTGGCGTAACTTCGGCTGCAGCTCGAGGTGTCTCAGCTGGAAGGCAGCTTGTAGCAGCCCAAGGCTCAGGCGGAGATGTCCCCATACCTTGTTCCCGACACTCCAGCTCTCTGCCATCATCTGCCAGCTGGCCAGCATCATCCCTAGGACAGTGATTGGTGGCTTAGACTTGCTGAAGAAGGAACATCCAGGGGCTCACGATGGTATCCAATACTTGGAAGCAGAATTTAAAAAAGGAAACAGGTACACTTCACTGCCAGAAAGAGTTGGGGAAGAGTTTTAAGAGGCATAAACCGAAGAGGCAGGATGTAGATGTCTAGACCCTCTATAAGATCTTGGACAGTTGCAAACAACTGACTCTGGCCCAGGGAATTGGAGAGGATGACCCACCATCATCACTGGTCTTCAATTGTATGATCCCAGGACTTTGGACAGCTCCACGCAGACAGCCATACCAGTAGCCATCTATGCCAGTGCTGAGATCAAGAATGTGCTGGACTTCTACAAGCAGTGGAAGGAGACAGGCTGAGAATTTCCCCATACCCCATGCAGAGGTTGACTCCAATCTCTCCTCCCTTTCCCTGCAGTCAGGGATGTCAACAGCAACCATTCCCCCAACATACACAGAGGACACACACATACACGCACATA